TCATCCTACATTTTATAATTTAAAAATAAATGATAATATGATTTTCAATTTTCGATAATAATATTTTATTTCCACTAAAATTTTGTCCTTTCAAATAAAGAAAAATAAAATTCTTTTTCTTGATTATATCAACACAAGAAGAAGAAAATAATTTACAATCAATCATAGTTGGTGGTAATTGTATATGTGATTTAACAATATATCTAGATTCAAAATTTCTTTTCCAAGAATAAAAAAAAATGTTGAAAAAAAAAATTAGGAAAGTTAGTATTTCCTCATTATTTCTCTCTACTAATTTTTTTCTCCATTATTTTATTTTCTGTCCCTTCCAAACAAAGTCTAATATAATGAATAGACGTTGATACAATGTTAACTTTCCTTATAATCCATCCAACAATCACAAAGTATAAATGAATTTAAAATATATAATTTATTATAAATTAATTACAATAAAATTTATTTGTCAATGAATTTTCACTTTGTTGTAATTAATTTAAAATATATAATTCAATTAAATTTCATATAATTGTGTATAGAATAAATTCATAAATGACAATTTATTTTTTTTATTTTTTAAAATATCATTAAAATAATAATTTCACACAAAATAAATAAATATAATATTCTCTAAAAAAAAGAAAAAAAACATCTTACCACTAAATTATTATATGTATATATTACGTGTACACGTAATCACTTACAGATTGGTGGATGAGTTTAGCTGGCAATCACTAATTTAGCCCCATCATTTCAGTAACTAATTAAAGCTTCTTTATTATCTGATTGGATTTGATTTAACACTATAATAATAATCCATTTAACTTTATTTCCTTCTTTGTATTGAAAACAACTTGTGTGGGATGCATGGAATCTTGCTGCTGCCAATCACAGACAATTTTTGTGACCATGGGTGATGTGTGATGTTTCTAATCATGTTTAGTTGGCATCATAAAGAGGTTGATTTTTTTTTTTTTTTTTTTATGTTTAGTTGGATTCATTTAAAGAGGTGATTTTTTTTTTTTTTTTTGAAAGCATAAAGAGGTTGATTTAATTTTTAAACTTTGTTATAAGAGGAAGAAATCGTCAATCTTTCTAAAATCGTCCAAAACATTTACTATAAATAAAAAATATCTATTTTATTATCAATAAAGCGGTGTTGAAATTCGATCACATTATAATTAAAATTTAAAAATTTTTAATTTATTTTTTTGGTATTCAGTTTGACAAAATTTTATAATTATATATATTATATATATATATATATATATAAATTTATATTTTAAAATTTTATATTTTATAATTTTATAATTTAAACTTAAATGTGAAGGAACAGCAATAAAGACAAATTTGGCTCATAGTGAAAGAAAGGATGTTTGTTGATTAAAATAAATAAATAATTATATAGTGATTAACATCCCTATGGATTAAGCAAACGTTATGAATCGTCTCATCCCAGTAAGTCGTCTTCTTCTTTAGTAAGTACGGAACCATAATAACAGCCCCGTCAGAAACTGTTATGCACGTGTATGAAGTTGGAGACAGTTGCATGGAAATGCATGCACCCATATTTTGTTGTCAGCATACATTATCACTGACACCTTTCACTTCACACATGCCCGACACAATTGAAATGAGGGTTTGTCCATTTGATTAAACCCACAACTTTGTCTTTTCTCCTTTCCCAATTTATGGTCTTGTTTATGCTCCTTAATTATTTCCTATTTTTATATTACCTTCATCTGTCTCTATTATTTGTTTTTTCTCCTCCTTTTACACTATTTGAATCAAATTCTGTCCAATCAAATATTTATAAATTAAATAATTTAAAGAATTAAATTAATTGGATTTGTAGAAATATATGTTTATATTTAGATAAAAAAAACTTTGTAACAACACGAAATTATATTTTAAATTTTAAATTTCATAAATAATTTTTTTTTTTAAATACAGTTTACGTCCCTGTGGATTAAATTGTAAATATGTTTAGTATGGAGATTTATAGTTAGCTCCCAAATAGTGTGATGCATATTGGAAAGAGACGGCAGCCATTTATAGTTTCCACGGAGTTGTGCAATTGGTTGACGGTGATTGCGAAGTGCTATCCACCTACGACCTACTCTTTTGTGTGAGAGTGACATTGAATTTATTAATTATCAAAATTCAAAAATATTTTATTATATATCCTAAATAAATATAAATCATTTAAAGTTATAATTGTATTAAACCACTTTAATATTTAAATATATTCATTAATTTAATTAATTTACCCTTTAGAAAATTATAGAAATAATTATTATTTGTAATATAAATAAGAATAAAACTGTAACAATATAATTATATTTATGGACAAAAGAATAATTTAAAATGATTTATATTTATAGAGGAGATAATATTTAATTTATTTTTGAAACTTACCACCCAACATTGTAATTTTAAAATACACAGTACAATAAATTTTATAAGATTGGTGCCTTGACATAATAATGTATTTGAAATTATAATTATATGATTTTGTTTAAATTATAACATTGTCGAAATGCATAGAGATCGTACCATATCACTTGTAGATAGTAAATTTAAAATAGATTTTGTACATGATAAATCTAAATCAAAGCATAAAACAAACAATCAAAACTTTATGAAGATTAAACCTTAAAATCAGACAATTTACTAGTGTAGTGATGATGAACAAGTAAGAAAACAAGGAGAGAAGATATTGAAGATTTGTTTGACTATTTAAAATCTAAATTTTGTTTTTTCTTCTTTTGAATTGTAATTCTAAATGGAAATAATACATGGGGTGTTATTAGTGGGTGACTCAGCTTCAATGGAAGTTGGAAAACTGCCTGCTTTTTGAATATTTGCTTCAATGGGATTAGTTGTTTTTATTTATATTTTCTTATTTTTTGATTTTTATGATTTAGTTACTTTCTTGATCGAAATACTATATATTTTTATAGCTGTCAACCCGCAAATACAATTGAAAATCTTATAACAATAGAGACTATTAGAAAATAAAAATTAAATTATCACAATTGTAGGATGTGTCTCTGAATAACAGTGGAGATTTTATAAATACAAAAATGATTTTACTTGATACAAATATTAAATGTTAAGTACAATATTTTACTCTTTTATATTTTTAATTAAAGAGAGCCTATAATATAGGGTTTCATTATCACAATCTAAATATATTGTAGTCAAAACTCCCACTAGTGATATGATGTGGTAACAGCAATCTAATTTGAAAATTTTAAAATCTACAATATTTTCCATTCTCCATTTTGATTTAGTAATATGTTAGATCACATACTCATAACTCTTAAAATTTAGGCTTCATTTTGGAAAAAGAACTTACCTTTTTATTTTTTTAATTGATTAGTTGTAATATTAAAATTAATTAAAAGATATTAAAATTTTCAATCTATGAGAATAAAAAAACTTTATTTTTTTTTAAATTTTATTATTACTATTAAAAATATATAAAGATAAATTATAGTATCAAAGATTGCTGATAGCAACTGATATCTTGCGGTGATTAGAGGTAAATAAATTTGTCAATATTTAGAGTTTTTTCTTTGTAAAAGAGAAAATCATTTTTCTTTAAATTAATTAATTTTTTCCTTAATTAGAAAAAAATTTTTCATTAAATAATTTTGCTGAGCACTCCAATATTAGAACCAAAAAAAAAAAATATTTTCTAGATAATAGGGTGTTTGGTTTATTTATGAAAAATAACATACTTTTTAAAAATAAATTTCAATAATTATTCTTAAAAAATATTTATCAATTAATATTGAAAATTATTTAAAAATATTAAAAATTTTGTTTTATATGGGAAAAATATGTAAAAAGTAACAAATTGTTGTGGTTGTGGATGATGTGTGATGGTGGTTTGTAGTGACCTGTGATGATGACTTCTAATGCTCAGTGGAATAATAAATGTGTTGATAAGATTATAATAAATTTGTCTTTATCCGTATAATATTTTGCCAAAAAAAATTTGTCATTTTTCTTGAAAAAATTAATGAAATAAAAATATTTTACATCACATTGACTTTTTTTATCTCTCTAAATATTAAAAAATTTTAAATATGAATAAATAGAGCCAATGTCCTCTAACATTTTTATTCTTTCGCTGCTACTCGTTGGATTATGATTAAATTATGCTCATGGATCAATTTATTTAAAGAGTAAAATATTTCTGACAAATATTTGTTTCATCTTTAAAAGTGAAATCCTCCACCTTATTAAGATGAGTGATGAGCCATTCATCTCAATATTTCGTGATTATTTTTTTTCTCTCAATGTTAAGTATAGAAATGGGCAACTTATGAGTTGTGGCTTAGTTAGTAATGCAGACTGGGTATATAAAAAGTGATCTCCGATTCAATTCCAATAAATGCACCTGTAGAGAGGAATAGTCGGAGCCGGAAGTGGGGCTGAAAAGCATAATATGAAAATCGGCCCAACTGGGAATTATTTTCTTAAGGAAACATTTTCAAATAATTTAATCAATATTACATTACATTTAGTAAAACACTAATTAATATTCCATAGCACAATCGTTATATTTTATCGAAAAATTCATATATCATGTTTAATATTAATTCTCACCTAAAATTTATCATCGTTCTTATCAAAATTTGATGTCAGTAAATAAATAATTTTTTATTTTAAAAATCAATTTTTTTTAAAAATTAACCCATACATTTATCAAAATTAAAATTTTTTTCTTTAAATGAATTCAAAAACATTACTTGCAGACTAATGGAATCACCACCACCACAACCAACAAGGGTAAGAGACACATTTCATTGGGCTAAGAGAACACCACCTTATGTGGGCCCCCTACCCAATAAACAGTCCAATAATATTATGTGGGCTACGACTTTAAGAAATTTTCACACACACGCACAACATTCACACGTGCCGCTTAAATAAAAGAGGAAGGAAAGGGTGTGTTTGTGTCTGGGCTTTTATGGTCCGTTTCAAGAAAGGATAAGGAAAAGTAATAATAGTAAAGGGGAAGAAGATTGGATCAAGAGTCCAAAAATCACATGCTTCCCTTTTTTCAATTTTCATCTCTCTGCAGTCTGCCCCTTAACTCTTAACCAAACAAAGTCCTATCGACTTTTCATTGTCAGGTCCAATTAGCTTCTCGGGTTCGTTTCCAAGCCCAATTCTCTGTCTGTCTGTCTCTCTGCCTTCCTCTCTCTCGTCTCTCCTGGAAAACCCTAGATCTTGCAGAGGCCTCGGAGCTCGGTCTCCGAGCTTCTTATACGCACGGAGATCGCGTCGCTTTCTTTTCGCGACTGGTAAAAAACCCTAAATCTAGTTTCTCTTCTCTTTCTTCTATGGTTCTCGTGTTATTGATTGGAATTTGAATTGAATCTGTATAGCTCTGTTCTTTGATTTTGTGTTTGATTAGTTTGTGAATTTTTTTCCTTGATTAAGTAATTGTAATTTGTCAAATTATAGATTGCGGAAAATGATGACTGTGATGAGTTGGATGCTCGATTTGTGCTTTTTATGAGTTATCTTTGACCTGGGCTTTGTTTCTGGTTTCTTCTCCAATTTCTTCTAATTGTTTGTGCAGTTGACCTGATTTGATCTTTGGGTTTTCTTCGATCTGGGCTTTTTTGTGTTTTTTCTTCATTATTTTATTGAATTCTGAAGCCCAAGCCGAGAAAGAATGGAACTATAGATCCGTTTTCTTCGTTGACCCGTTTTAGCCCTATTATGGGAGCGGAATACCCATTTTGACCCTGAACTATCTGGGTCATTTAAACAACTGTTTCATGAATCCAACGTGGACATAATTCATCTCTGAACCTGTATACGGCCCATATCAGGTAGGTTACAGGGAGCAAGCAATTGAAAGGGGTGACCATTGGTACGGTGGGCCATAGTAAATGGCCCAGCGGTCTATAATTCAGTTATACACTCTCTGGGTTATTTGTTTGCATTCAGACTTCAGTTGTACCCTTTTATGGGAGCGTCTCTTTAGTAGGACTTGTGTTGTACTGTGAAACCTTTGCGTTCCTGAAGCTGAACTCTTGCTTCTTTAGCGTAATTTTGGACCCTATCAGATTGCTTAGTTTGGTGGACTGGTTTAATATTGACGGGTATTTGGTGGGTTTTTAATACTGATGCCATTATGTTTACACCATCCGTATGTGCGTTTGTCTAAAAAGATCCAGTCTTATAAGTGTTATAACATGTATCTTAAAATTATATATGCTGTGGAGTTATGCAGTCTTTCAGAATCTGCAGAGAATAAAAATGCATGCTCTACATGCTCCAAATGATTTTGTAAATCTAGAAGAAGGAAGCTAGGCTGAAGTTCCCGTGTTATACAAAAATTTAGTATTGGTTCTTAAACCTGAATTCGTTTATGGATTTTGAAGTTGATTGAAAGGGTGCTATGCAAATTTGCAATATGTAATGATCAATGTAATAGGATTTAGTTTTGGATAATTTCCGAAACAAAACCAGAATGGGAATTATGGTTAACTCCTATTTTATGCCTAGCTTGACTGCCAGCTGCTAGTTGAATTGCTTGCGTATCGTGGTGACAAGTATCATGTAGCTCATAGATCTTATATTGACTGTCTTCTTTGTTTCCTCTGGTATGATAGTAACTCTCTTATACTATTCTCCACTTAATAATCTCAATTGTGAAGTTTTTAGTTCAATCACGTATATGGAAGTTCAATGCTTAGCTGTGTTATGAGTGGACATGATGAGGTTTAAAATCTTCAATCTGTCATGTAATCCTAGTATGGTTTCATTTAAGTGATAATTTAGGCACTAAACTTCAATAAAGCTAACACAGGTTGGTTTCTATGGCTCATTATTCAAGAATCATGCTACATTTTTTTGGCTCCTATTGTCTATTTATTGAGTATTGATGATGGTAAACTTAGTATCAGATTTGTTTATTGTGGCATTTTGTTTTTCATGCTGTGTTGACCTTGACCATTGTCTTGTTATGTAAAATTAAAATGCGTGGGCATCTTCTGTTCCCTAAAATGTCCTTCCTTGCTGTTGCCACCTGGATTTATTTTCTAAATACTAGACTACTATTTCTTTTGGTGCTTTACTTTATTACCTAGTTGTTCTGTAGTACCAAGTTTATGTTTAGCTGTTTTCTTTTACTATGCACGATAAATGTGTGCCTTTCAAGGATTATTTAGGTTATCCATCTCATTTGATTGAGGCTTTTATGCTTTGGCCAGAGCATTTTATTCTGATTTTGCCATTCAAGGATTGTTTTGCTGAATGATAATAGGTATTCACTTCTTGAGGCAAGATGGAAACACCTGAAGAGAACAATGCATTGGTGGTTCATGAATCACAGCCTAATAAGAGGCGGAAAAAGAAGTCTATAGTCTGGGAGCACTTTACAATTGAAACTGTAAGTGCTGGATGTAGAAGGGCATTCTGTAAACAGTGCAAGCAAAGTTTTGCATATAGCACAGGTTCCAAAGTAGCTGGTACTAGCCATCTCAAGCGTCACATTGCCAAGGGAACCTGCCCAGCTGTACTACGCAATCAGGGGAATCAATTGACGCCATATACCCCAGGGAGTGGAAATGGCAGTACAACTGAAACTCCAAAACGTCGCTACAGATCTCCTAGCTCAGCTTATGTTCCTTTTGATGGAGACCGTTGCCGCCATGAAATTGCTAGGATGATCATTATGCATGACTACCCACTTCACATGGTCGAGCATAGTGGCTTTGTTACTTTTGCTCAAAATCTTCAGCCTCGGTTTGGCATGGTGAGCTTTAATAATGTCCAAGGGGATTGTGTTGCAACTTACTTGAGGGAAAAGCAGAATGTTATGAAGTTTATTGAGGGAATGCCTGGACGTGTTTGCCTTACATTGGACGTGTGGACTTCAAGACAAAGTTTAGGTTATGTTTTCTTGACTGGTCACTTCATTGATAGTGATTGGAAGCCACAAAGGCGGGTTCTGAATGTCGTGATGGAACCATATCCTGATTCAGATTCTGCTCTCAGCCATGCTGTTGCTTGTTGCCTTTCTGATTGGAGTTTGGAAGGCAAGCTATTTTCTGTCACGTACAATCATCCAGTTGGTGAACCTGGGCTTGAAAATCTTAGGTCCCTGCTTTGCATAAAGAATCCCCTAATTCTCAATGGACAATTATTGATTGGTAACTGTATAGCTTGGACTCTGTGCAGCATGGCCAAGGATGTATTATGGGCTGGGCGGGATGTTGTTAAGAAAATCCGCGACTGTGTAAAGTATGTGAAGACTTCAGAATCCCATGAGGAAAAGTTTTTCGAGCTTAAGCAGCAACTTCAACAAGTCAACAGTGAAAAAAGCTTATTTCTTGATGACCAATCTAAGTGGAACACGACATATCAAATGCTTGTGGTTGCTTCAGAGCTGAAATTAGTGTTTTCTTGCTTGGATGCTTCTGATCCTGATTACAAAGAGGCCCCCTCTTTGGAAGACTGGAGGCAGATTGATACTATATGTAGTTGTTTGAGACCTCTCTATGATGCAGCCAATATACTTACCTCCACAGCTACCCCAACTGCAATTACATTCTTTCATGAAGTATGGAAGATCCAGACTGATCTGGCTCGTTCAGTAGCAAGCGAGGATCCCTTTGTTAGCACTGTTACCAAAGCCATGCAAGAAAAAATGAGTAAATATTGGAAGGATTGCAGCCTAGTTTTAGCAATTGCAGTAGTCATGGATCCCCGCTTTAAGATGAAGCTTGTTGAGTTTAGTTTTTCGAAACTTTATGGTGAAGATGCACCTGCATATATCAAGATTGTCGATGATGGGATTCACGAGCTCTTTCTTGAATATGTGGCCCTTCCTTTGCCTTTAACTCCAACTTATGCTGAAGAAGGAAATAATGAAAACAGCATGAAGGAGGACCACCAGGGATCTCTTCTGTCCGACATTGGACTCACAGATTTTGATGTTTACATTATGGATACTACAAGCCAGCAAATGAAGTCGGAGCTAGATCAGTACTTGGAAGAGTCTTTATTGCCTCGTGTGCACGAGTTTGATGTGTTGAGTTGGTGGAAACTGAACAAGCTGAAATACCCAACTTTATCAAAAATGGCTCGTGATATTTTAACCATTCCAGTATCTAGTGCTGCTCTTGATTCTGTATTCGATACAGTGACCAAAGAGGTGGATCAGTACCGGTGTTCCTTGCGACCAGAGACGGTGGAAGCCCTTGTGTGTGCTAAAGATTGGCTTCAGTATGCATCTCCTGAAATTTCAAATGCCGTTGTGAAAATGGAGTTTTAGATTTAGGTTCGCTCGTTACAGTAATGATGTATAAGATTGTAGGCTTAGTTTTTATAATTAAGCATTAGGTTACATTGCCTCTATTGTACCATTAGAAAGGAATTGTTTGGATTAATGGGCATTATAATTTACACATTCAAATTTCCTGGACAGTATTTATTGACATAACGAACTATCTTTTGTTACGTTTGCGGGTTCTCAAAGATTTATAGCCAATGAGCGGTTTGATTTGAATTATAGAGTGATTTGAAAGTTGAAGGACTAATATCTTGCTCTACACTGCGGACAATTTTGACAATTCCGAAGAAAGTTTAATGTCAAATCCAAATTGAAGTATGATTCAAATAACACGATTGGTCTCTTTATTTATTTATTTATTTATTTATTTATACTTAATTCAGCTTCTTTTAATATTCAAACTTGAAATCTTCTAATACCATTTCGGTCTCTTAAATTTAAACTTTGATTTTTTATTTTTTATTCCACTTAAATATTTTAGGTTGAAAATTTTATTTATATAAACATATAATGAAGAATAAGCATAGAGCCATTGTTTAAGTTAAACGCCCACACTTAGTTTTATAAATAAAAAATATTAATTGGTATATATATGTCCATTTTAGCAAGACTTATTCATTATGTGTATATATATATATAATCTATTTCACCGGTAGCTTTCTGATATTAATAATTAAACTATCGTATTGGATAGAAAAGTTGATTATTTTATATTAATTAAAGTTACTAAAAATTTTGAAAATCGTTCAAGTAAACCATTAAGAAAAAAAATCAAATGATTAAATAGTAAATAATAAATTAATATCTTAATTAAGCTCTGTTAAAACTCTTATATCAGACAATTCTATAAAATATAAATACAATCCAATTAAAAGAATTAAAAATTTGGTACATATTATTTAAATTTATTATTATACTCTCAATATCATAATATAAGATTTATGAGAAGTATATCTAAGAAACATAATTATAACTCAATTTATTCTAAATAAGGTACTGTCAATTTTATTATATCTCAAAAAAAAAAAAAAAAAAAATACATATTATTTAAATTTATTATTATACTCTCAATATCATAATATAAGATTTATGAGAAAGTATATCTAAGGAAACATTAATTTTATACTCAAATTTATTTTCTAAATAAGGTTACTGTCAATTTTATTATATCTTCAAAAAAAAAAAAAAAAAAAAATCAATCAACCATATTAAAAAAATATTAACTATGACGAGTACTAACGTTCAATGTACATTGTTAATACTAATTATATAAATATAGAAATGAAAAAGAAAACAAATAAATGATATACTATAAACTAATAAGTCTTATGCGAGAAAAAAACATTAATTGTATAGATACAAAAGTATCAAATTTGGTCTCCTATTTCTAGTAATATTAATTGCAATGATTTTTTAATTGTAATAATGGCATGTTTTTTTATTTTTAAAGATTTCAATTAGTGTATTAAGATTTTCTTCTAGTTTTTTTTTATCTATTTTTAATATATTAATAAATACTTGAAAATTATGTTTTTGACTATAAAATCCTCTATTCTGTGTACTCATTTCACCATCTTCCTTCCCCTCTTTTTAGGTTCCCATTGAAGAAAAAAAAAAAAAAAAAAAAATGATTCTGAAAAAAAAAAAAAAAAAGTAATATGGATTCTGTTGTTGCTAAAGCTCTTATTTTAGTGCAACTTTCACTATTATGCTTCCTTGCACTTAGCGATGAAGAAATAGGGCCAGTGCCATTGTTGCACCATCACAACAATCACCACCATAGTCTAGCTCCAACTCCAGTCGATAATCACCATCACCACCACCACCACGATGATCCAACTCCAACTCCAGCTCATCACCATCACCACCATCATCACCATGGTCCAGCCCCAGCTTATACACCACTCCATCCACCAAAGTTACACTCAAACCCACAAGTATACTCTCCACCAACTCTAGCTCATGGTCACCACCACCACCACCAGCATAGTCAAGCTCCAGCTCCAGCTCCAGCTCATCACCATCACCACCACCATGGTTTAACTCCAGCTCATGCACCAGTCCATCCACCAAAGTTGCACCCACACCCACCGGTGTACTTTCCGCCAACTCTAATTCATGGTTCTCACCACCACGGTGCAGCTTCAGCTCCGACTCATCACCACCACCATCATGGTCCAGATCCAGCTCCAGCTCATCATCACCACCACGACGGTCCAGATCTAGCTCCAGCTCATCACCATCACCACCATCAACATGATCCGGCTCCAGCTCCAAGACAGCATTGACTCTTTCCCACCCTCCCGAACAGTCTTCACTAGATATTATAGTGCAAGAATAAATAAAAAGTACAGAACATTAATTTTTAATGTATCAATAGATACAGAGGACAAAAGAAAATCATTATAAAAATTGTTCGTACTCAAAGTATGGATAAATTTATTAATAAAAAGTAAATTGATGCAAATGGTGATTATTAATCAATTTCCCTCCATTTCTTTTTTTTTTTTTTAAATATCCTCCAAAAATTAATCTTTCTAATTAAGGAAGGAAGGCAACGTTCATTTTTCCTCGCAAAATCGTATCCATAAATTGTGTCTGGGTACACCTAGATATTACTTTTACTTGCCTTGCACGCTTATACAACAGGCCCAAAGAAAGAGAGAAAATTACATTTAATCTCCTAATTCTGATGTAGGTAATTTCTAAACTCTTAGTTAATCTTAGTTAATCTTGTGTATATATATATCTTAGTTAATCTTGTGTATATATAATATATATATATATATATATTTTTTAAATATTTTTAATTTTGTTAACCAAATGTCAATCGGAATCGGAATGTACGCATAACTTAATTTGCCTCTGTATTTCTTATTGATAATTTCTATAATTGAAATTCTTGATAATATTCTAATAAGAGACATGAACAAAGAGAAATGAACGATAAAAAATGCGCACATTAATATATAGTCTATTAGTAAGTGTTTGTTAATTTATTAGGTGATAATGCAAAATTATTGATATATAATTATAATAAATTTTAGATAAATAACAATATAAATTGAATTGAAGTGTTTATAAGATATACTGTTATTTTATTAATTAACCGTTATATTCATATTAACGTGACATTAAATTTTATTTTAATATTATAAAAATCTAAATTTTTAATATTTATAAAAATCTAAATAATACAAAAAAATTATTAATTAACCGTTATATTCATATTAACGTGACATTAAATTTTATTTTAATATTATAAAAATCTAAATAATACAAAAAAAAATATAATCAATATTTAATATTAAAAATGAAAATAATATAAATAATAAGAAAAGTAAGGAATGACATAAAATATTAAACGAGTAAAAATAACGAATATAGTCAACGTGCAATGCACGTCATAAAAAGAATAATTATAATTAAAAGTTTTACCGTTTTGCAATTATACTTAAAAGTATAACACGACAAAATATTATATTTATATTTGTTGAAGGAATTGGAATCCTACATGGCAATATAATATATATATATTCTTATAATTTATTTATTTTGTTAATTCTCTTTTTCCAGTTTTCTTCTATAATTCTAAACCTAAAAAATTAAATTTTAAATCCAAAGTAATAGAGGAACGAAGAAGGGTTTTGCATTAATGACATTTTCTTCATGGTACTAACGAGAAATATCCTTAAGTTTTCATTGGATTTTCCAAGATCATTATGAGATTAGTAAAAATTTTAATGCTGATAACTCTAAATAAAATGCATTCTTCACATTTATCATAAATATATATTATATATTAAAATCATATATATTAGATAATATTATCTATGCTAAATTTTATATCATAAGTAAAAATGAAATTAAACTAGTTAATCATTTACATTAGAAAATTGTTGATTAATACAAGATTATAAATTTATTTCTACATTCTATTAAAAAATAGGATATGATTTTTTTCATTAGTTTTAAATAAATGTACATAAAATTATTTCATAATATTTTATAAAACAATATTATATTAATTTAGAGTTGTACACAACTCGGAAAGCAATTATAAGGCTCGTTGGTTTTAGTGTGATGGGTATGGACTTTTAATGGATCAAGAGTCCAAAACTCACATGGACTCTTATTTATAATTTATATATCTTAACCAAACACAAGCCCAATTCTCCTCTTTCTCTCTCTCCCTCTCTCTCTCCCCCTGCAAAATCCTAGAACTTGCAGAGGATCTCGAAGTTCGTTCTCCGAGATTCTTATACGCACAGAGACAACGTTGTTTTCTTTTCGCGACTGGTAAAACAACGCTAACCCTAACTTTAGTTTCTCGTCTCTTTTCTCTTTTATACTTCTTGCTTTATTGGGTAGAATTTGAAAAGAATTTCTGTTTGTTGATTTTATTCTTGATTAATTTGGGAATTTTATTGTGTTGATAAGGAGTTATTAGCTAGGTTTGCCATGGCGAGCTTTGATATTGTTCAGAGGGATTGTGTTGCTGCGACTTTCTCGAGGCAAAAGCAGAATGTTATGAAGTTTATTGCGGGAATGCCTGGACGTGTTTGCCTTTCATTGGACATGTGGACTTCAAGTCAAGGTTTAGGTTATGTTGTTTTAACTGGACATTTTATTGATAGTAATTGGAAGCTGCAACTGCGTATTCTAAATGTCGTGATGGAAACAAATCCTGATTCAGATTTTTCTCTCAGCCATGCTGTTGCTTGTTGCCTTTCTGATTGGAGTTTGGAAGGGAAGCTATTTTCTGTCACTTACAATCATCCGGTTGGTGAACCTGGGCTTCAAAATCTCAGGTCCCTGCTTTGTATAAGTAATCCCCTTCTTCTTAATGGACAAATTATTGCTTGGTAACTGCATAGCTCTCACTTTAAGCAGCATGGCGAACGATGTACTGTGGGCTTGGCGGGATATTGTTGAGAAAATCCTCAACAGTGTAAAGTATGTTGAGGCTTCAGAATCCCATGAGCAAAAGTTTGTCAAGCTTAAACAACAACTTCAAGTCCCCACTGAAAAAAGGTTATCTCTTGATGACCAGTCTAAGTGGAACGCGACACATGAAATGTTTGTGGTTGTTTCAGAGCTGAAATTAGTGTTTTCTTGCTTGGATACTTCTGATCCTGATTACAAAGATGCCCTATCGATGGAACACTGGAAGCAGGTCGAGATTGTATGTGATTATTTGAAGCCTCTCTACGATGCAGCTAATATCCTTACCTCCACAGCTACCCCAACTGCAGTTACAGTCTTTCTTGAAGTATGGAAGATCCAGATTTATCTGGCTTGTTCAGTTGCAAGCGAGGATCCCTTCATTAGCACTGCAACCAAAGCCATGCAAGAAAAAATGAGTAAATATTGGAAGGATTGCAGCCTAGTTTTAGCAATTGCAGTAGTCATGGATCCCCGCTTTAAGATGAAGCTTTTGTTGAGTTAAGTTTTTTGAAACTCTATAGTGAAGATGCACCTGCATATATCAAGATTGTTAATGATGGGGTTCACGAGCTCACTACAAACAAGCAAATGGAGTCGGAGCTAGATCACTAATTGGAAGAGCCTTTAGTGCGTCGGGTGCAAGAGTTTGATGTGTTAAAATGGTGGAAATTGAACAAGACGAAATACCCAACTCTGTCAAAAATGGCTCGTGATGTTTCAAGCATTCCAGTTTCTTCCGTTGCTCCTGAATCTGTATTTGATACGGGGACGAAAGAGCTGGACCAGTACCAAGGAACACCAGAGACACTTGAAGCCCTTGTGTGTGCCAAGGATTGGCTTCTCTGGTCAAAAATGGCTAAAGTGATGTTTTCAAGCATTCCAGTTTTCTTCCGTTGCTCCTGAAATCTGTATTTGATACTGGGACGAAAGAGCCTGGGAGTTTTAGCAATTGCAGTAGTCATGGATCCTCGCTTTAAGATGAAGCTTTTGTTGAGTTAAGTTTTTTGAAACTCTATAGTGAAGATGCACCTGCATATATCAAGATTGTTAATGATGGGGTTCACGAGCTCACTACAAACAAGCAAATGGAGTCGGAGCTAGATCACTAATTGGAAGAGCCTTTAGTGCGTCGGGTGCAAGAGTTTGATGTGTTAAAATGGTGGAAATTGAACAAGACGAAATACCCAACTCTGTCAAAAATGGCTCGTGATGTTTCAAGCATTCCAGTTTCTTCCGTTGCTCCTGAATCTGTATTTGATACGGGGACGAAAGAGCTGGACCAGTACCAAGGAACACCAGAGACACTTGAAGCCCTTGTGTGTGCCAAGGATTGGCTTCAGTATGAATCTGCTGCATTTTAAGTTTTTAACTAGTAATCTTATTTGCTCAGACTATATATACTCTATAGTCTATTCAATCATTATTAGAAAATTTATACTCTATTCAATTATTATTTTTAGCTTTTTTGTATTAATATTATTTTTAACTTTATAATTTGCAACCAAATTTTTTTTAAAAAAATCATTATTATTTTTTGATGTAAATCATATCGGGTGTTAAATCGAATAGTTACATTTTTTTTTTTTAACCATCCGGTATCCAAAACTCATTTGACCAACTAATTCACCGATAAGCACACAAAAAAGCTCTCTTTGAGTATTTAAAAGATTACATAACTAAGGTTCGAACTCAAGACCTTTAGTTAAAATAAAATAAATTCTTTCCACCCATCTCACCCTCGAATTCGAATAGTTATACTTTTATACGTATTTTGATTTTACTTCATTTGATAGATATATAAACAACAATATGAAAACCAATCTAATTTGAGAAAATATATATTTTGCTATGATTTTTCCATTTTTTATTTTAGTTTTATGCTGGACCATATCTGATAATCCTAAAAATTCAATATCTTTTTCTTATTTTCCCTGCTAAAAATTTATAATTATATATAACTAAAGATATAAATCGGGGATTTATTTTAAATTAATTAACCCATTTATCAAAATTCGTTAAGTTCACCCTAAGTTCAAAAATTACTTTTTAGACCAATAGAAACTTACCAACGATGTCAAGAACACGCAGAGACAAGAGCCTCACACGAAAAGAAATCTTGATATCTTATCCATTTCACCAAGGGAGGCTCACCAAAAAGCATAATCATTAGAGTTATGAACCCTAATTAAGGAAGGTAAATTTTTTCTTAAAAAAAAAAAAAGGAAAATTTTGATAGATCATTTTATTTTTTAAAACATCAGGAGATGATTTTTTCAATAGTTCAATATTAATAATATTACTATTGGATTTATTTAATATATTAAATAAATTAATTTATAGTTGAACAGAGTTTGTAAAGTTTTGTCTTTGTGTGCTGTATGTGGGCTTCTGTGGTCCGTTTGAATAAAATAAAACTAATAGCAATAGAAGATTGGATCAAGAGTCCAAAAATCGCATGCTCTCTTATTTTCTATTTATCTCTCTTAACCTAACAGAGTCTTATTGACTTCTCATTGTCAGGTCCAATTAGCTTCTCGGGTTTGTTTCAAAGCCCAATTCTCCTCTCTCTCTCTCTCTCTCTCTCTCTCTCTCCTGCAAAACCCTAGATCTCGCGACGACGTCGGAGCTCTGTTTCCGAGCTTCTTATACCCACGGAGGTCGGTCGTTTTCTTCTTGCGACTGGTAAAAACCTTAACTCTAACTTTAATTTCTCCTCTCTTCTACTATCGATGCTTGTGTCGTTCTAGATTAGAATCTGAATTGAATTGCTGTTCTTTGGTTTTACTCTTGATTAATCTTGCTGCAGAGTCATAGGTTGTGCAATACGATTACTGCGATGTATTAGGTGTTCAATTTGAGCTGTGGCTTGTGCTTTTTAATAGTTCTGATTGATCTGGGCTTTGTACATGTTTTTCCCCAATTTCTTGTCGTAATTGTTTGTTAGGTTGACTGAGTTTTTTTTTCTACCTGGGCTTCGTTCTTTTTTTCCTTTTTTTTTTTTCTTTCCTTCTTCGGTTGAATTCTGAAGCCCAACCGCCAACCGTTGATGGAATGGAACCATAGATCCGTTTTTCGATGTTGACCCGTTTTAGCCCGAGTTATGAGACGGAATACCCACTGACCCTGAACTATCCGACTCATTTAAATAACCTTTTGATGTACGGGCCCATATTAGGCTCGAGTATGGGTTTAGTAGGCCAGATTACTGGGCCCAGCGGTCTAACAATTCTTCTTTCTGCTTCTCTGGATTCAGAATTACAGCGCGATATGTTCTTCAACAGCATTTTAGTAATTAAAGTTTTGTAATGTCCGTAATGCAATTTATCCTTAATTGTTTTCTTTTACCATGCTTAGCGTTCCATCTAGCAATACATAGTAGTACTTCTGTAAGTAATATGTTATGACATGCAATGATGCTATCTCAAATGTCGAAGAATTAACTTTTATTGCTGTGGTCCTCTGTTATATCAAATGGTTCATCTTGGTGCTTGATGATTGCCATACAAGGATTGTTTAGGTTACCCATCAGATTTAAAGAACTTTTATGATTTTGGCCAACCATTGAAAAACTATTTTGCTAAATGATAAATAGGTATTCACTTTCTGAGGCAAGATGGAATCATCTGAAGAGGACAATGCTTTGACTGTTCCAGAATCACAGCCTAATAAAAGGAGGAAAAGGAAGTCTATTGTCTGGGAACACTTTACCATTGAAAATGTAGGTGATGGATGTAGAAGGGCATGCTGTAAACAGTGCAAGCAAAGTTTTGCGTATAGCACAGGTTCCAAAGTAGCTGGTACCAGCCATCTCAAGCGTCACATTGCCAAGGGAACCTGCCTAGCACTACTGCGCAATCAGGGGAATCAATTAACTCCATATACCCCAGGGAGTGAAAATGGCGGTGCAACTGAAATACGAAAACGTCGATACCGAACCCCTAGCTCACCCTACATTCCATTTGATGCAGATCGTTGCCGCCATGAAATTGCTAGGATGATCATCATGCATGACTACCCACTACACATGGTAGAACATAGTGGCTTCATAAATTTTGTTCAGAATCTTCAGCCCCGTTTTGGCATGGTGAGCTTCAACACTGTCCAAGGCGATTGTGTTGCAACTTATTTGAGGGAAAAGCAGAATGTTATGAAGTTTATTGAGGGAATGCCTGGACGTGTTTGCCTTACATTGGACGTGTGGACTTCAAGTCAAAGTTTAGGTTATTTTTTTGTGACTGGACACTTCATTGATAGCAACTGGGAGCCACAAAGGCGGATTCTGAATGTTGTGATGGAACCATTTCCCGATTCAGGTTCTGCTCTTAGCCATGTTGTTGCTTGTTGCCTTTCTGACTGGAGTTTGGAGGGCAAGCTATTTTCTGTCACTCACAATTGTCCGGTTGATGAACCTGGGATTGAAAATCTTAGATCCCTTCTTTGCGTAAAAAATCCCCTTATTCTCAACGGACAATTATTTATTGGTAACTGCATAGCTCGTACTCTAAGCAGCATGGCAAAGGATGTATTATGGGCTGGGCGGGATATAGTTAAGAAAATCCGTGACAGTGTAAAGTATGTGAAGACTTCAGAATCCCTAGAGGAGAAGTTTGTCGAGCTTCAACAACACCTTCAAGTGACCACTGAAAATGCCTTATCTCTTGATGACCAATCTAAATGGAACACAACATATCAAATGCTTGTGGCTGCTGCAGAGCTGAAATTGGTGTTTTCTTGCTTGGATACTTCTGACCCTGATTACAATGAGGCCCCCTCTATGGAAGACTGGAGGCAGGCTGAGACTATATGTGGTTGTTTGAAACCTCTCTATGATGCAGCCAATATCCTCACCTCTACAGCCACCCCAACTGCAATTGCATTCTTCCATGAAGTATGGAAGATCCAGACTGATCTGGCTCGTGCAGCTGCAAGTGACGATCCTTTTATTAGCATTGTTACCAAAGCAATGCAAGAAAAAATTAGTAGATATTGGAAGGATTGCAGCCTAGTTTTGGCAATTGCTGTAGTCATGGATCCCCGCTTTAAGATGAAGCTTGTTGAGTTCACTTTTTCAAAAATTCATGGTGAAGATGCACCCACATATATCAAGATTGTTGATGATGGGCTTCACGAGCTCTTTCATGAATATCTAGCCAGCCCTTCATCTCTAGCTTTGACTTATACTGAAGAAGGAAATACTGAGAACAGCATGAGGGAGGACCACCAGGGAACTCTTCTTTCCGACAATGGATTTACAGATTTTGATGTTTACATCATGGAGACTACAAACCAGGAAATGACGTCAGAGCTGGATCAGTACTTGGAAGAATCTTTACTGCCTCGCGTGCAAGAGTTTGATGTATTAAGTTGGTGGAAACTGAATAAGCTGAAATATCCTACTCTATCGAAATTGGCTCGTGATATTTTAACCATTCCAGTATCCAGCGCTGCTCCTGACTCTGTATTTGATACAATGACCAAAGAGCTGGATCAGTACCGAAGTTCTTTGCGACCAGAGACGGTGGAAGCCCTTGTGTGTGCCAAGGATTGGCTTCAGTATGCATCTGCTGAAATTTCAGATGATATTGTGAAAATGGAGTTCTAGGGTTTACTTGCCAGAGTATGATTACAATTGTAGCTTAGTTCTATAGTTAAGCATTAGGTTACCTCTTGTACCATTTGAAAGTAATTGTTTGGATAATTGGCATTATAAATTAAAATTCCCAGGGTAGATCTTGTTATCATATTGATTTGGCACCCAAAGGGAATACAACAATTAATACCCGCTGTGATGATTTTCGTTTGTGTTATATAATGCCAGTAAACAATATCTGTATGTTTATTTGGATAATAATTTGAACAATGTGAAGGTCAGTTAAGATGATTTTATGCTTTCATCTATTTGAATAAAGCATCTAAAGCTTATGAACCGCCTTATGCTTTATAATAATATTAGCAATGCTTGATTTAATTAATTGTTTGCAGTGCTCTGGCTACGCCTGGTTTGGAGGAAATAATGCAAAATATTCTCAAAGCCGCCACATTAAACTAGAAAATTGATGATAATATTGACAGTATCTGTGTTGATTAGATTTTATTGAATTCTTCCATTCTAATGATGCATTACACAACTAATTTTTCCCCTTCATTACACCTAATAGGTAAATACCCACATCCAATGGTATCCTACCATAACCATAAATCAAGCCCTTTTCTAATATTAATCTACAACTCAATCTCAACAACATGAAGTTTACCCTCCTCAGGTAAACTATCCAAATTAAAAGTAACCAATCCAGTAGGCAAGTCGTACACAAAATCAACCACATTTGAATCCACAATGCACCTTCTTGGTTTAGTAGATGAATAAGCACCAAACTTCCCATAACCTTTAACCTCCGTAAAAACTTTCCCCACTAATTCACCACCGCAATCTCCTTTCAGTACTTCATACTTCAACTCTTCAATGGCTCCACCAGCATTGTACATGGCAATTAGTCCAAAGGGTGCGAAGCTAAACCCAGGTGCTAAAACCTTGATGGGTGTGAGAGTAAAGATATGGTGCTCCAAGACTTTGAGTGACACCGGCAATGCTGCATTGTACGGAAGAATGGTGACTTCACCGGTGCGGTGGCAGTAGATAGCACAGTCACCATTCCAGTTAGAATCTGTGGCTGCTTCTGATATGAGATGGACATCACGTCCTTTAATGGCTCCTGTTAAGGCATCAGATTTGGTTTCATGGAATGTGTTCTTTCTTTCAACAGTGTTCCAGGCTGCTCCTTGGCAATTGTAGACTCCTAAAACTCCTGTGTATTTGTTCATGTTCCATATCTTCAACAAGCTGCAAAAAAGAGAATAATTTAAGTCAAGAAAGTGCATACATTACATGATAGCTTAAAAATCCCAAGACATGAAAAAGAAAAATTTATCAATTCGTTTTGTTTAGCAAATTCTAACTCCAATCCAAGTTCAATTAATCAAAAAATGTACTTACCTAATTCCATCACGAGAGGGATCAGTGAACAAACAGTCACGAGTAGGTCGCCCAGGCAAGCGGGCTCTAAGAATAGATCCGTCCGGCAGCACCAGCTTCTTTAGTACATTAAAATCATGCTTCCCAGGCTCATCACTGGTCATAAAAAATATTCATAACATTTAGCCAAAAAGAAAGTATGCAATGCATAAAAAAAAGGGTATCTACTTAGAAATGAAGTACCTAACATAGACAGGACCGCCACTGATGGCTCTAGCAGAAGCATGATATTCAGCAGCTGGGTGAACAGAATGAAACATATCCCAATCAGGAAGCATAAATTCTCCTAGAAACACACTGTTGTATGACACTGCTGCTATATGAATGGTGTGTGACACTGGATCCCTTGGAAAGAAATCATCTGATGCTCTCACCACCGCTGTCTGTTTCGAGCTGTTCCATAAAAAATAAAAATTTATGCTTTCTCAAATTCTAAAGTCGAAAAATATTTATAGCAAACAAAATTAAAGAAGACACAGTCTCACCAGTATAATGCATCAGTGTTATGGCTCATGCAAGCAATGCACCCATTATCAGGGAAATTTCTAGCTACAGAAGCATCAAGAGCTTGATGATACTGTCTAGTTAACTCCACCCTTCCTCCTAATCCACCACCAAGCGTCTCCAATATGCACTGCACGTCCACCTTAACCCCATCTATACCCGCAGAAGCCAGATAACTATGCAACTCATTATAAAATTTATATACACTTTTAGGATCCATCAATCCCAATCCCTGCAATGCCATTATTTCAGTCTTCCACGTCGGGTCATTCTCCGCCACCGCTTTTGACACCTCCGGATACTTCATCAACGACCCGTACTCCTCCATTTCCTTTACTCCGGGTCGGACCCCACCCCAGTATCCAGTAATCGCGTGCCATACATATACGTATTTCAATCCGTATTTCTCTTTCGCTACATTTACTATGTTCTTTATGCCCACCGTTGGATCATCTTTATTTTGGAATTTTGAATTTTCTTTGATCCCGGTCAACCTAAGTAACGGCTGCTGATTGCTGTCATTTTGATCTTTCGTTTCTTCCTGTGGATCCCCACCAACTGACTGCCAACCGTCGTCTATGATAACAAATTTTGGAGGAGTTCCACCAGCAGCTAAGCTCTTTAGCCCCGACTCGACTCCTTCTTGAGTCACTTCCTGGTAAAACGCATCCCAGGTGCACCAACCGAAATAATCAACGATTCCAGGCAATTTTTTCTCATGCCGTTGACGGAACGTTTTCAAATGTAACTTAACGGCTCTTACAGCTTCCGTAATCGTGCCAAAAGGATCTGTACCAGCGTGAATGAATAAAGAGTGGGTAAACGACGACATTTTAGTCTCAACGTCACCGCTTTCTAAACAAAGCTCGAGCTCATCGTTGTCGTTCCCTTGTAAACAAGCTCTAAAAGATCCTTCAATCAAAGGAAGGAAAACTGTGTAAACAATCTGATTTTCTTCATTTCCATCGTCCGATTCAAGCTGGGACCCATCTTTAGTCTCGACCAGTAAAAACTGCGTCTCTAGAGGAATATCTTTCCCATGATCTCCCATTTTTTGGGCCATCCAGTAAAGCTTGAACCGGAAACAGGCCATGAACCGGACTTCACGTAAAGTGCCTAAAGGTAACACATGCCGGCTTTTTTCTTCGTCAAAAACCGCTCCTAGAAAAATCCCCTCAACTGGACCGGAGGACGAACCGGAAGATGTTATCACATTTTCCGGTACACCGCTGAGAATAGTACGATCCTTGACAATTAGTTTCCGGTCCGAGATCCGAACAGCCGGTTTGATCGTCATTTCGTCCTCTTCGGGAGGCGTTACTAGATTGCTTTTCTGCAATGATAAATATACATTAATAACATAAAAATAATTAATACTAGGAATTTACATTCATAATACTAAAGAACCAGTTGATTGCCTTAAACGCCGATATAGAAAATGCTTTTTTGGAAGAGTACCTGCAAACTCCGAGATTTAAAAAAAAAAAAAAAATCAGCAACTTAAATTTTCTAGGAAACCAAACAGGGTATGTAGAAGGAAAACTGAAAGAAAATTACCAGAAACAGAGCGCTGTGTTTTAAAAGCAACCGATGATTGGATTGTAGGTAAAAGGGTAAATTTGTTGGTATTTATAGTGACGAAACGGGGATTAATTCTACAATAACACGAATTTGACATCGTCACTTTTCTATCTCTGTTTCTTCTGAGCTTTCTCTTCCTGTCTTGTTGATTGCCCAGCAGATTATCCAACGGCAAAATGGAATTCCACGTAGGATCCACGCTGCTCGAATCCACAAATCTTAGTTAGAGAATAGGATAAGCATCCTTTCACATGGGAGTTCACGGATACTCCATGAACTTATGGTTTTAACCGTGCCACGTACATTATACCTGATGCATTAAGTCTTTAACAGTATTTTTTCTACCATGGATTATGTAAACGTGTCAATTAGGGTTTTGCTAGCATGACCATACGGAAAATTTAGTGCTTTGATTATTTTTTTTTTTCAAGCAATAATTATTTTGTTTCCGCTGATCTGTGTCCACGTACTCACTTTTTGACGCTTCTTTCTTTTAAATCTGTGTGGAAACTAACTTGTCGCTTCCGTTAATATCATCTGAGGTCATCTGACGGCGGGAACTTTTTCTTTTTTTTTTTTTGTTTCAGTGACGTATCACAATAATTTATACGGAAAATAACAAACGAGCAAATTATTTTAAGGGTCACTTATCTTTTATTTTTATTTTTTTAAGTAATCATCTTAATTGCCACTGTTGAAATTGAATGAACAAGTGGGAGTGACAAAAATATCTTGTTGGGTTTAAGAAAGTCGTTGGAGAAGATGGTATGATACGATATGGAGATATGGACCCATGTAGGCCAATTGCCAGCATCTATGATATGTCAATCATATGGTGTTATAATCGCTTGGCACTTGAGAAAATAATGTTTATTTATTTTTTTTATTTTATAAACATTTATATCTATTCACAATCATATATTTATAAATAATCATTTATATTCGCGAATGATCTCATATATATTTAGTATATGTAAATTTTTCTTTATTTATCTATAAATAAATCATTTATTTCACTTTTTTTTCGTAATAATCTCTTAAAATTAAAATTTTAATCCTAAAAGAAATTTTTCAAAATTGTTTTCCATGACCTTCCCGTTATTAAATAGAATCAATTAACACATATAGTGATTTTTCATACTTTAAAGTCTAGACTTTCCACTATCATAATATTTATTCTCCATGATTTGTGATTACGTAGGTACGATATTCTAATATGGAATTAAACAAATTAAAATTATTAGAACATAATCAGATCTAATTTTATTATTTTGGCATTAATAAATTAAAATATAAGTTTATGAAAATAAAAATAACACTATCTGAGAAAATCAAATCAATACATCAAGATTTTCTATTTGAATTAAATTGTACTCACTGCTCACCCCTTAGAAATACAGACTTTAAATATAATAATTATATATAATTTCCAAAATATTTTCTAAAATATGAATTTTTTTTATAAAGAATAAAAAAATTATTTAGGGGTGAGCTGGAACTAACATGCTTGACAATGAAAATCTAATTAAAAGCATATCGTTACACACACGCATAAATTGACATTGACTGAAATGCTTCTATATATATATCAATTATTGGGATCAATTATTCATGCTTATCAATCAATCCTGAAATTTTGGATAATTATTCTAATTGGGACACTATGCGCATATCCTTTTTTATAATAAAAATAAAATAAAATTGCGCATATCCTTTTTTATAATAAAGAATAAAATAAAATAAAATAAAATTAATAATAAATAATAATTATTAGTTATTATTATTGTTATTGTTTGCAATTTTTAATTAAGCTAAACTCATATTCTCAAGTTGTTTCGGCTGCCATAGAATAAAATAAAATAAAATAAAATAATAATAATAATAATTATTATTATTATTATTGTTATTGTTGCATTTTTATAAGCTAAACTCATATTTCAAGTTGTTTCCTGCCATAAATAAAATCGAAGGCTTAAGAAATCCGTTGAATAGGCTGAAATTGAAATTAAATTTTTTTTTTTAAGAATTAAAAAAAATATTTATACATCAACGTAAATTTCTAAACCCAATCATGGAAGATGAAAATGTCAATGGCTTATGTAAAGCCAAGTCACTATACAACTCTAAAATATATTTTATTTCTTTTAATTACTTGCACTATTTGGATTCTCCTCGTTCAATCCTGTTAATAGGAGATTAACATGTTTAATTACCTTTCTCATTTCTTAAAAACCACATTTTTGCCATTTTGCTAGCCACCTATGACCTTTTAGATAATTAAACACGTTAACCTGTGTTTGATATTTCCAAGAATTATGTTTTCCTAACAATTTATTTTTAGTTATTTGATTGTAATTTTGAAAATTAGTTTAAAAAATATTATAATTTATAATTTATAATAAGATTTAAAATGAGTTAAAATATTTATAATTAAAAAATTATTGCTAAATATGAAAAAATAAAAAATATATAAATTATGGTGATTGGTGAAAGAGGCTAATCATGACAAGCGACTAGCAGTGATTAGTGATTCTAGATAATAGTGATTATTAGGGACACGAGTTTTGTTTTTTATTTGAAGGGAGTGACCATGAGTTAATATAATTATGTATTTATGGGAATATAATAAATTTACGAACAGTTCAAAAATATTTTTATCTTTTGAAAAAAAAAAGTCATTCCCTATTAAAATGATTTATTTTTTCTTTTTAACTAGAAAATTACATTCTGTGAATTATTATTTTTTAAAATATTTTATTAGAAAATTTGAAAAATGTTTTTCAAGTAAGTTACCAAATTATTTTTCAAACATGGTGCAACCTCAAGTTAATTCCAATCATCATATCATTAAATTGTGATGTGATTATAAAATTTAAAAAAAAAAATCAATGTGATTAGTTCATCATCAAATTTCAAAAATATAATTAGAATTTTATCAAAATCTAACAATAATTATTTTGTTTTCTCCTAACAAAATAATTATTTTATTGAAAAATAGGATATATGTTTCTACAAATTGAATTCACAAATGAAATTAATCCCAACGCCTCCATCTTCCAAAAATTTCTACCCAAAATCTGATGACTTCCTAATTGATCACGCGACAATAGGACCAAGTAAAAATTTTGTAATTAGAGGTCCTTAAGTGAAATTAAGAGACACGTGTGCGGTTACAAAAGCTACTAGATAAAAATATCTTTAAGACACGTATCCCCACAAATTCTCCATGCAGGTACGAATCGGCTTTTGTTTTTATCTTCACGTGTTTCTTGCATAGGATTATATTTTATAAGTATAAAATTACAAAACGAGGTGAAAGGTATAGTAACATCTAATTACGTGTCTTTTTGAACGTGTCAAAGCGAGTGGGTGGTTTTGAGAAATGACTGGATATTCCGCGAAGGTTGAAAATTCCATGCTGTGGTCCTGCGGAATTTGGATGAGTCCAGATATGAGAAACTTTGGAATACAGCATTTTTTGAGATTAAAAAAGTACTGAGTAATTTTTTTAAAATGACAATTAATTATTGAGTTAAAGTTTGAGCGGATCCATATATATAAAGTGGAATTATCTTCTTTATTAACATATAATATTAGGTTAAAACACAATTTTTTTTTTTTCATTTTAAACTTAATAAAAAAAGTTCAAAATTGTAGAAACAGCTAAAATGAAATTATCTGATTAAAGGAATTTGGTTTAATTTTTATTTGAAAAATCTTCGATTTGTTCAATTTGCTTCATGTGATTGGATATATATGAACCTACTCGACAAAATACTCTCGTTTAATTGTTCAGCATTTTGAGTTAGACTTATGCATTCGTTTAGAAAAAAAGTTGGAAATAAAATCAAATAAAAAAATGAATAACTTAATAAAATTGTAATTACTACAAAGTTGTGATTTAATAATAATATTGTTAAACTATATTCATAGTGCTAAGCCAAATGGATACAAGAATACAGTGAATATATCCTTTCATGTTGAAGAGAATAACTTGTTCTTTAACAATAAATGGGGTTAAAATTATAAATATCAAATGTTATTCTCTTTCAAGTTTGGATGTTTCCAAACAAGAAAATGCATATCATTTTCTTTCCACCAAAAGAAAATATATGTCATTTTTCTTTCATCCGACCATGGGAGTGAAAAATAACAAAATTATATATATATATATATATATTTCTTCCACCAAAAGATATATGATATATATATTCTTTTGCATCCGAAAAATGGGAGTGAAAAATAACAAAAATTAAATATATAATAATATATAATATATTTGAAATATACTTCGATTAATAAGTAATATCAAGAATTTTTACTATTAGTAATATATATATATATATATATTTGAAAATATACTTCATTAATAATAATATCAAGAATTTACTATTAGTAACTAATAGAGTTCGCTGATCTTTTAACAGAAAAAAAAAAAAAAGAAATTCATATCATTTTGAACGAAACTAAAATTAGAACAATATAATATTAGATCTTTCCGCTTTGAGTTGATCTTGACAATAGATATAAATCTTCATAGCAGTAATTAGTCCTTTAATTGATTTGGACGTCAAAATAATAATTTTTCTGGATCTTCTATAATTAAATTATTTTTTTGCAACATATGATAAATACAAAAAAGTTTCCGTCGTTATGCGTCAATAGCATGAATGAAGGAACATGCCGCCTACCAGACTCTATCGATCAAAATCAACACTTGCAAACCAAGATCTAAAGTCTCCAATCAAATAAAATCAAATATCATAGTTTTGTTCACTATTAAACCCTCATAAAGAAGAAAAAAAAAAAATCTAAATACGGAGACAACTAATAATAACAAAATAAAAAAGACAGATCTGTTATAGAAAAAATAAATCTATATTTATTAAAGCAAAAGAAGATGAAACGAAAAAAATATTAGAAAGTAGAACGTAGGGGGCTACCGCTGATAAACAGTGACAGATCCAAACTAAAATTAGGATTTAGAAAACTGGTTTAAAAAACTAGAGAGACTGACGAATTATTTTTGAATGTTTACTGCTGATGAGAGATGGCTATTATACTTTCACAGTTTATCTCTTAAAGTTCTTAAATCATGGTCCAAATATATTTAAAATTAAAAAGATGGGCACTTGGCTCTAAATTAAGTAATTTTATTTTTTAAATTATTTAATTATTATTTATATTCTTAAATTTAAAAAGTTTTATTTTTATTTTTTAACAATTATCTTCTGAAACAAACTAATCTTTTTGAAAATATTGGCATTATTGCCCAGAATTATAATTTTTCAAATTTGATATTTTTATAAGTACTGTGCCTTGACAACTCAGCAGCAAATAATGAAAGCATAAATTCTTTAAAAATAATCAATGTAGAAAAATACCTATTATTTTATAACAGCTATCACTTTGTAAACTTATTCCAGAACCTTCAGGAATTATTTTTCTCCTATTTATTTCCAATTTATAATAATTTTACAACAATATATACATACTTATGGTCTTCCACAAGTATGAGATAAAATAACAATAATAATGTTGATTCAATAATGATGATTAGTACTATCTTAATTATCATATACAATTTTACCTTTTTTAAGGTAAAAATGGATTTGCCGTGTGTAATATTGATTTACTTTCCCTTGTTATTAAAGAAATTTTTTTAAAAATTTGATTTTTTAAAATATAGAATAAATTTATTATCCAAAAATATGAAACATAAATTTTAACTAAAAATCTAGTTTAATTATCGTTAAAATAAAAATATTATTCTAAATATTATACTTTAATTAAACTGAAAACAAAATGAATATAATTAATTTCAACTTTTTATTTTACTTCACACACATATATTTTCAGGTTGGACTTGGTTTCAAGCCCAAATAAAATTCGGGTCCAATCCATTCCAACCCAACAGTTAATTTCAACTTTAATCCTTCAAAGTACACTATTATCAGTTCTTGCCTCTTGGCGCGAAAATTGTATCAAGACTCGGTGCATTCATATTTCTCGCGCGCACCTCTACAATTCCTCCCCCCCCCCCCCAAGACTCGGTGCATTCAATATTTCTCGGCGTACCTCTACAATTCCTCCCCCCCCCCCCCCGCTCTCTCTTCTCTCTTGCTCTTCTCTCTCTTCTCCACACACACACACACACAACACAGCACCTACTAACAGTCCCACACTGCTAAATTTCTTCACTACATATGTCCGAGTTTCTTGATCGGGATAGAGTCTCTCTCTCTCTCTCTCTCTCTCACACACACACACACACACACACACACACACTACTACAGTCCACACTCTAAATTTCTTCACTACAATATGTCGAGTTTCTCTGATCGGATAGAGGAAATCAAATCCCTAATTAATTCAAACAAATCGCTCGCTTACTCTACCCTCCAACTTTTTCAACAACAAGCAAGCAACCATCTTTCTTCGGTTCAAACCCTAGCTAATTCTTCTCACACTCTTATCTCTGTAATTGCCGATGATATTTCAGATGATGATGAGGAAATGTAAGTCTAATAATTTTTGAATTTTATTTAATATTCTATTTTAGGCAAATATGTTGTGTTTGTGATCTAATAGATATATATAATTTTTTTTTTTTTTTTGGTTTCAGTGCTGCACAGGCTTTGAAGTGTTTGGGATTTATGATCTACCATCCTTCTATTGTTTCCACAATCAAAGGTTTTGAAGTTAATTCAAATCTGCTCTAAATTTTGGTTTCTATTGTTCTTTAGCTAATGGAAGTATACTTTACCATTGCAATTTAGTTATCTGATTTTAGGGGAAAAATGAAGCTTATAATCTATTTCTAAAAGATTTGGAAGTCAAAATTTTGTGAAAGAGCTCAATGATGAAATTAATAGATCCTCTTCTGCAATTTAATTGTGCAAGCAAATGATTTTAGTCCCAATTTAATGTGGAAAACGCCCTGGCTCTGGACTTACCTCAGGGAAAGGTATGATAAGGCAATTTCGCTTGTTATGGAGCTTATTATATTATTATGTAAAAGGTAAAAGAGCAAGATGGAATGTTGTTATGCTATGGCACAGTACTTCTTATCTAGGCTTAGGCAGAACGGTGACTGGGCAGGTCTAGTTTTTATCCCCGTTGTGGAAGTGAAATTTGAAACGGAAGGGGAAAAAAGTTGCAAAGCCAGACATTAAAATCAACTTGAATTGTTCCATATGGATCAGTGGGATTGGAGCAATAACTTGATCCCTGCAAAAGAATGCAGAAAAATTAACAATTTTTTTGTAGCTGATCCTGTCTTTCAATGTTTAAGAGTCTACGGTATGCATCCCCATGATTAAACTATAATTGTTCTTGGCCTTATATTTGCATTTTACATGGTTATTGCAGAGATAAAGTGCTATGCTATTCACATTTTTCCTATTTGGTGTTGTAGATGATGATGCTAACATGATCATGGAGGCACTGGCTAAAGTCATTATAGCCACAAAAATAAAGGTAAATATTTCTTTAGTTAGTTATAGTAATTTTCCAATGTAATCTGTTGTTTATCTATATAACAAGCTCGCCTCTTAATTGCAGTCGGTTTGTAATTTAGGCATGTGGTGTATATCAATGCAACAATTTGATGCCTCATTTTTATCTAATCACTTCCATTCTATATTGCGGGCAGTTGTTCATGCCTTGGACAATCCTTTTGGTTCCTTGTCTACAACATTTGAGGCCATACAGGTAGAGTTACCAATTAATTTCTATTAATTACACTGCTACAGAAACTTTGGATCCATTTGTTGATTGATTGCAGTACTCATCCAAATAAATGAAAAGTCATTTTACTTTTTTCCTTCCCAATAAAATCCTTTTAGAATGTGTAGTATGAGTACCTTCCACAATGACATTGCAAAGGCATTCAAATCGATGCTTGAGTCCTTTGATTAAAAATGTATAGTTATTTAGCATAATTAAGGTTATTGCTTCTTTTCTGGTTGCTAAATGTGCATAAGCATGACTTATTCATGTATTTTTCTTTTCAGTTATCTTTTGAAAAAAGAATGCAAATATACAAACAGTCTTAACTCAGAATCAGATAGGACAGTTATACAAACAATTCGTTAATGATACTCGCTGAACTTGATGTCTCTGCTATATCTGTAAATTGCCTTACATTAGGTTGAACCTGAGACCCTTTCTTTAATCACGGACATTGTATGATATCTATTCTTCAGAACTCATACAATTTTATGTTTGAGCTATATTGCAAATGACGCATGGCAACAAATTTGTTTCATATAAATTTATTAATACCACTGTAACAGGTTGTAATGAAGTTTTCGGCTCAACTGGCTGAAAAGATGAGAGAATTTTCACACATATGGTGTCCTCCAATATATAGAAGACTTCTCAGCATTGATAAGAGAGAAAGAGATATTTCAGAAAGGTGTCTGTTGAAGATTAGCTCTGTAATCTTACCTTCTCCTGCAGCTCTCTCTAAGGTGTGAACATTTAGTCTGTTGTCCCTTTGTTTTGTTATCTTTAATGCAAACATCACTATTGGGTATATTGACGAATGCCTGATTTTGTGTTACCAAAAAAATTGTGTTTTTTAATTATTTGCAGACCTCATATTCCATTTTCTCTTACATCTAAGGCTTGGACATAGGCTTCAAGGGATAAGCCTTCACGTATAAGAATTAGCAATGTTAAATAGAGTTCTATAATCTAAGTTTTTCAACTATATCTTCATCTTTCTTTGACAGGCACTGGTCAAAGATATGAAATGGAAATTGCTCACTGGGATGAAGGATCTTCGGAACCAGGGTAGGAAAGTTGAAACATTGCAAGCATGGGGATGGTTTATCCGCTTGCTGGGATCTCATGCTCTAAGGAATAGGCATTTAACTAATGACATGCTCAAAATTCCAGAGCAGACATTTTCTGATCACAACCCCCAAGTCCAGATTGCATCACAGGTAATTACCACAAAGTTGATCTTTTTATTTTTAGAAAAGTGGGTTGTGGCTTTTTCTCTGTCTCAATAATTTTTTATGTAATAACTATTGAATTTTGGAACCTTAGAAGCTGATGAATGGAAATTCTAGAAAATGTGCAAGATTCGTCCCTGTTTAGGTTGTGCTGTTCATGCCATTTTATTTCAGAAACATCAGTAACTTGTCATGGCCAATATGTGAAAGTGCTAAACCAGATCCTAATAGGAAATTCAGTTTTGATGGTAGAAGGTGATGCCTGAACCTGGAATAAACTTGAATGTCCCGTTAGCTTGGGATGCTAAAATTTTCCCCAGAAGTAGATAATGTCAACCCTTATCAGCATTATGTTTCTAGCGACTAAAGCACACTCTAATTGCCTGTTAAATACTTTTTCCTCTTATTTGCTTTTGCACTTTTTATGTATTTTATATAATTTCTGTTTACTAACATGTTCACATGCCTTAATTTAACAGGTTGCATGGGAAGGTCTTGTTGATGCTCTTATTCACCATCCAATTGTGACTCATGAGACTGACGAAGCTGGTGAGAATAGTCGTCAAGTCCAAGCAAGTGCATTTTCAAAAAGTATAAAGCTCTTAATGACACCGTTAATTAGCACCATCTCAAGCAAATGTGATGTATCCAATCATTTATCCTGCTTGAACACGTGGTGTTATCTGCTACATAAACTGGATCTCTCTATTAACCATCCATTGGTGATTGAAGTGGTGTTGGATCCTGTATTTGAAGCAGTTTTTAGAATGGGGCTTGATAACAATACTGTGTGGTTATGGAGTCTATGCCTGGATCTGCTCAATGATTTTATAATGTCCAAATGTAGAAAACCCGACTATGAATCCAGTAGCCATGTTAGCCACCATTCATCAGTCAGAGCTTCTATGCCTTCAATATCTGGCAAATGCTTAGTAAAACAACATTCTGTTAAATGGTATCCATGGGGCGTTAATCAATTGGACTTCTTTATAAAGATGATTAGTATTATACTTAGTCATGCATCAATTGTAACAAATACTCTTGAAAATAGAAATGCAGTGTGTGATGATGCCTTAAGGATATTTAGATCTCTTTTAAGAGGGGTGCAAATAGAGTTCAAGAGTTCATCCATAAATTATGCCAATATTGTTTTATGTTTGAACACAATATTGAGATTCATGAAGGAGACATGTGAAAACATAAATTCATGTGGTAGCAGCAAAAATAAATTGCAGTGTATCAGTACTGCAGTCCAGTTTCTACAGGCTGTAATTGATGAGTTAGAACCTTCTATATTGGGATCCCCTCTTTATGAAGTGGCTCTAGACATCAGGTACATTGAGAATCTGCAATCAATAAATGATACTAAATATGCAAAATTTTTGAGTGTTTTCCCTATTGCCTACATGGATATGGTTTCACCATTGGCTTATCTTATTACACTCTGCATCTGCATGGTGATCCAGCTAACTTCTGACACAGTCGAAACAGAGTTAGTGTTGCAGAGATTTCACAATTTTTTCAAATTGATACTGTTTTCATATAATCCCTTGGGAAATCTCCAAGTTGCAGTTGGACTATTGTATAAGCATGCGGGCTACAGGAACTTACACATGTGGATAGCTCAAGCTCAAGCTCTGAAAGACTGCATGTGTGGCATACAGGATTTTTCTATGTTCAAAATGGAAGCAGACAGCAATTGTTACCTTGGCATATACCAACTTTTATCCTATCCATTTGTTGCATGGTCTTCCTCACTGCAAACACAGGCCTCTGAGAAAGTTAGTGGATCTACGGACGAGTCTTATGTTTCTACACAAAGAAAACTTGATCTTGAACATGTAATTGAAGTATGGAAATCAGTATATGGTGCTCTTTGTGCCTCAAAGTGTTTTGCAACAGAGAGCCTCGCTGACAACCTGTGCTCAATGTTAAACTGGTGCATTGATGAAAATATAAGAACGATCGGCCGTGGCACTGAACTAAATTTAAGTTGTAATGATCTCAAACTTGATTTCCTTTCTTTATCTGGTAATGCTGTGGCATGCATACTTGAAGTCGTTTCAGCAGCTATTTCAGATGTAAGCAAAAGTAATCATGCTGAACCTCAAATATTCGGCGACTTAAAAAGTGTTCTGGGATTTGCTGCCAGGTAAGTACAAAAATTGCTTTTTAAATAGCCTAATAAAATTGAAAACCCTCATTGAACCATGGTATGGTTGCAGGGACCTAGGACTTATCTGTGAGCAGGTGTAGGAAAAAGGTGACCAATTAGTTGTATCAGAGTGTTTAACACAGGCAACCTTTTTAGAAACCTGATGAAATTATTTTGAACCAAATCTGCATTTTGAGATGGAACAGCTCCTCTGAAGTGCAATTTTCTCCACTGTGATAATCCAGATTAGGAATGAACTTCGCTATTCAATTGCCTAGAACACCTTAATTGATTAATTCCTATGAAAGACGTAATCCTCAATTCCTATGAAAGACATAATCCTCAATGAGTGATATCAAGTGAATGTGCTCGACTATGAAACTGATATTTTATGGATTTTGGTATGGTTTTATTTTTCCTGCGGGCTCCTGTCTCCAACTGCAAGTGGTTATGTTATATTTGCTATTGCTGCAGATTCCTGAAGCATTGGGCAGAAGTACAATCAGATTCACTCAACGGTCTTCCTCTAACTTCAAGGTTAGGCTCAAAGGTGTTTCCTCATTCTCACCATTAAGTTGTTGTCTTTACTAATCTGATGATGTATGTATGTATCTCTGACAGGGTACTTTCTGATTTGGCACATTTCATGAGTTGCCTGCATTCAAAGCAAACTATTCTTTCAACTATCGAGGTATGCATCTCTCAGTTTTAGTCGCACTACTACGTTTCTGAAATTAGTGTGTTTGGAAGAGATGGAGAATAAATTTAAATCATTAGTCTTTAATAATGGAATCAATTACATAAACCGGTATTAGTAGCAGTCTGCATTCAGGTAAAATGGGCTTTTTATATTTTTTTAGGAAGCAGAAAGATTGTGTGAAAAGAGAAATAAATGGAGATGCTGATCAGCCATCATAAAAATTAAAAAAATTACATTTGAGAGATTTGGAGTGGAACAGAAGCATGCTTCCATCCTGCACAGAAATTTCCTACTCTTGATGTTCCAACTCATCTGCTGAAGCTCAAAAGTATAGAAAAGGGGGGAAGTCATGTGAAAGGTCGTCCATTGCCAAATAAGATCCAAACTTTTAATAATAACAATTAAACTTCCTGTGGTCTGTGTTGAACTAGTGTTTAGTAATTTGTTTATGTTTTACTGCAGATAGTAAATTCTTCTTTACTTCAATTGCTATCACTTGGAGGACTACACGATGGAAGTACCAAAGATCAACTTCAGTGCCTGTGGGCTGAAACCCTTGCTTGTTTAAGGAGGAGTAAGCCTCCAATAAGCTTTGATTCCTCTTTCCTCAAACTTCAGGCACCCCTCTTGGAAAAAACTCTTGATCATCCAAATCCTGTTATTTCAGAGCTTACCATCAACTTTTGGAATTCAACATACGGTGAGACAATTAAGTTAAATTACCCTGAAACTTTACTGGATGTCTTAGACAAGCTATCCAGAAATAAGAGAATCATCCTCCACAAGAAAAGCCTGTCGTTTCTTGTAAAATGTAGTTCTACACCAGAATTGACTGCTCAAAGATACAAGGTGTCTGCAACACATAACAGGAGCACAAAAAGAGTAGAATTCGTGGAAAATACAATGAATCAAATGGAGCACAAAGATAACTTGAAATCAAGTTTTAAAAGAAAAAGGTTGGAATTAACTGAGCACCAGAAGGAAGTAAGACGTGCACAGCAAGGAAGGGGGATGGATTGTAATGGACACGGTCCAGGGGTCCGAACATATACTACTGTTGATTTTTCACAAGGAAATGAGGATTCACAAGAGAGCCAGGAGATTAGGAACCCAGATTCTATAATGGAGATGCCGAGAAGAGTTACATAATTGTTTTCTGTTTGGATGTGCAAAATGGAAGGTATAGCCCTCCAAAGTTGTTTAACAATTGTTGAGGGTTACAAAAATATTGTGCTAGAAAAGCAGCACTGAGAAAAGGGAGAACAAAATCATAAATCGCAAGAGCTATTTCACCGCCAACATAGCCAGGCCATGACCTATAAAATGAGACAAAAATTAGAAATATAGCGGCCGCAAACTATAAAACAGGGTCTTCGGTTCAACTTATTTATGCGTTTTGGGCGTTTCAGGTCGAGGTTCGTCTCCCTTTAGATGTTGAGATGTTTGCATGGGACGCGATGCCGCCGCTGAGTTTCAAACGCCAAGACTAGATGTTTTCTTGAACTTGTATACCTAAGCCAATAAACAAGATTAAATTACGTCCATGTCCTTATAGTATAGCCATAATTACAGTTCAGGATTTCTTTTTTATCTAATGCTTGAACTTTCCTCCAATCTTTAAGATTTTATTCTTGTAACGCACCATTACGTTTCAAAGCACTTATTGTATCCCTAAACTTCAGAATTTCATTAACAAACCATTGCATGCTTATTGACGTATGATGAAAAAAAAAAAAAAAAACGAATGAGATGTAGTTTTGATAAACGTATAACCAAAATGACACAAAAGCCTTATTTTTCAGCTAATTTACATTTGTAGGCCATTGATTCATCGGGAATCCCTTAAAAAAAATAATAATAAAATGAACGTGAATTAAAGTAAAAAAATAAGTTACTTTAGAGATTTTATATCTATCTCTATGAGGAAAAGGAGATGTCAATTGAGATAGATAAAGAAAGTGGAATGAGAGACGAGAAAGAATGGATGGTGAGCCAAACAGAGAAGGGTTCGTGCAAGGAGAAAGGCGGTAGATCTTAACAAGCCAGGTCATTTTTCTTTGTTCAATTGCTCTATTGCGTTTGATAATACGCACCGTTTGCCAACGTGACAGACAAAATATTAACAACACTTCAAAAATTAGAAGGATGATAGAGTAAAAAATAGAGAGAAAAAAGAGTAAAATCTGGTGGTTAAGTGATACATTCATAAGGATTGCCTAATAGAATATCCGAGTATGAGGAATTGGGTGAGTAATGGAAGCAATTTGGTATTATTATTAAAACAAAGGGTTTTTTTTGGATGATTTAATTATTTTGGAGGAAATTTTGTGACTTTGTGGAGTTTTAACTTGTAGATCTGTCAAGCTTTATTTTTCACCCTCGCAAGATGATGATAATGAAGACCTAGTGAAGCTTTGATTTTCGTTTTTCATTGTTAGATGAGAATGTTGAAGAAGATGATTGCTTGGGATACAGTAAATTATTTAACTTTTTTAGCTATTTTTTGGAAATAATATTAATGATATTTATTAATTTTATTATTTATTTAAAAATTAATTACTTATTAAAAAAAGAAATTGAAACGTTTTTAAAATATTAATTACATTATTAATTTTATCAATTATTAAAAACTGTACACATATTAATGATATTAATTTCACTTCATCGATATTTATAAATGATATTATTTGTGTTTTCTAATATTTGTCACATTTGAAATTTCAGGTTCATTAAGAAAATCATTAAATTTATCTTAGTTATAATAAATTATTGAGTAAATTAATTATATTACCCTTAATTTAATATTAATTTTTTAAAAATCATTAAAATGAAGTAATAATTATTGATCATACATAAAGATTAATATGAAAAAAAACTTTATTATCCTTTAAAACTACTAATGTGACAAGTATTTTGAAATAAATAATTTTCTCAATATGATAAGTAATATTAAAAAATAAAATTCTTTAAATAAAAAAAGCAATAAATTCAACTAAGTAAACTAAAATTTTAAATCTGCGTCCCGATATAAATATAGTTCAAATTTTATATATATATTTATATAGAAGATATAGGTGGAACCTTATGATTTTAATTTTTGAGCGTTACCTTATGATTAAGTTTAAAAGTTGGTTTGGGATTAATTGTAAAAAAAAAAAACCTTTGCAGGTATACATAGTCCACCAAACACATCCTATCAAAACTCATGCTCAAACATACTCAAAACCCAGCACAGGCACAGCAAACCCAGTTTTACGACTTGCTTCCCTCTCTTCTCCCTATCCGTTTGTCGCTCCCCTAATTTGTTTTCTCGGCACTGCAACACATACAATACAATACATAATTACTTGTCCTTCTCTGTAAATTTCTGAAACCCTAGGGGCTTTCTTTTACTTTTTCTTTTTCCTTTCTTCATTTTCTTTCACTCGATTTTTTTTTTTTTTTAAATTTCTCCCCCAGTTTCAACTCTTATTATTTTTATTTCCATAACGTTAGGGCTTTATTTTAACATTTCGATACATTTCGGATAATTTACAGTCTTCTTCAAAAATTTTCTCCTTCTGATTTCTTGGATCTGGTCATGGACTCGCGAGATTCGTCTTCATCGCAATCGACGCCCGCCGCTAATCGAGATTCTACGGCGGTTGGCTCGTCATCCACTGCCGAGGACGATGCCGTTCTTTCTTTCACCGCTGCTCTTGCCAAGGACGCAGCCTTGCATTTCCAGTCTCGCCGCTTCGCTGAGTGCCTTGCCGTTTTGCATCAGCTTAAGCTAAAGAAAGAAGACGATCCCAAAGTAAGTCTTTATAGCTACTTATTCATGTTCTTCTACTGTAGAATGCTTTGTATTCATATGGTTGCCTTTGAATTCTTTATCTTTTTTTTAGTTAGTTGAGTGGTGGATTTCGCTGGAAATTTTCGTTTTATGACTGCAAATGGCAGTTTAAGCTTGAGATTTTTAGTTGCGTGTATTGTGTTTGTAATCTGAATTATTATCTGTCACAGCTAGGTAATTTTTTTTGGCGAATGTGTTAATGGGTCGTCAATTTTATGTTAGTGATATTGATTCAGTGTTAGTTTAATAGCTTGGTTAGATTGAGTTAACTATATTGGAAAACTTTGTCATTCACTTGTGTATGTTAATTCAAATATAAGGAATGCATACAAACATATTCGCTGTATGTAATGTAGCTAGACAAGTTCGAGCAGATGATATCTGAAGGCAGAACGTTATTACTGCGGATTTTAGTACTTTTTTTTGAGCTGAATATGGTATCAGATAAATGAGTTTATTTTGGATGGAGTTGTTTGAATAATTGTCTCCTGTGTAAATTGCCAAAATTAAACCTGGTTTTGTTTTCTGCTGCTATTGCTATGTTTTCATTGATTTCCTCCTGTTACCATTCCAGTAGTATCTTTTATTCTCGTTAGGCATCTCATTAATTCCTTTGTTATTCTGGAACATTTGGAATTTCAACTATGTGACTAAGAGTTGCTGATATTTTTATTTACTCTTGTCCAAATTAGGATCAATTCAAAGTAAAGTTTGTGTAATAATATATTTTATGATAGAATTGGTGAGAGCTGAGAGTGACAGGTTACTTGGTTGAATGAGTTGTGCTTCATTATGCATCCAACTGCTACACTTGTGAGTTTATATTGCTGTCCATCGCTACAGCTTATCTGAATGATCTGTTATTGCTGAATTTGGCTTCTGTTACTGAAAACTCAACCATTAATCAGGACCAAAATTTTGTTGGTTCATACAGGCTGCACTAGTAAGCCTTTTTTCTTTTTTCCCCATAAAGTTACTTTATAAACTTGAAAATACATTTTGATTAAAATGGTAGCTTAAGTTTCTGCTTAATCTTATCTGATAAGGACCATATCATTCTTAAATTGAACCAATGAATGAGCACTATTCTTCATTTTGGCTCAGAGTTGCAAACATGTTCTTGGTTTGCAGATGTAATTAAGTTGCATGACTCTTTTTGGCATATATTTATGATTATTTTCCTTTTAGTCTTCTTCCTACTTTTTTACTTCATTGTTAATGTTTATCAGGTTATTCATAATATTGCTATTACGGAATTCTTTCAAGATGGATGTTCAGATCCAAGGAAGTTGCTTGAAGTTCTTAATAATGTGAAGGTATGAAGTTCCATTTTGCCTTTTCATATCTTTTGAATCTCTGTTGTAGAGACACCAACAATCACCTACCTGCTTTCCTGTGGTGCTAAATTTATCAAGTTGCAGCTGCCTTAAACATTTAATTTACATTGTAATACAAATTGATAATAATTTAATTTTTTATTTTTCATTTATTTCCATTTATAGCTTTGTATATACAACTGATGAACTTTATTTAGAGGGAAAGAAATAGAAGAGGAATATGAGGTATCATCTAAAAAGGTAGGCCAGAAAGAAAAGAACAGAAATGATTGGAACTTTAATGAATGGAATTTTAATGATGGAAGAATTCTCATTTTAAGTTGTATGCTGTTTGCATCAAACTAGGTGTATAAAAATTTTGAGTTTATCCATTCACTGTAATGTTCCTTATATTACTAGATTATTTGATTCTTTTTCTTGAACCAGTGGGCTGTTGAATTTTTTCTCTATTTTATGGCTCAGTTTTAAAGCATGTTTTGTGCTGAAGAAACAGTTTGTCACTTTGATCAGTAAATGCCCAGAAACAGTTATTGTTATTGGTGTCAATTTTGTTATGTAAGATACAAGTTTGATTATCTTATTGATTGAATAACCTTTTTACAACATTCCTCTTTGACATGCTTATGTAAATTGATTTAATGTCAACTCTCACTGAGTGAAATTTAACATGCTAAGTCTCTAGATGCATTATATATTTGGAAATCTTACTTATGCTACTTTCTTAATGAAAATGATTTAGTCAAAATTTGATGGTTAGCTTCTATGCATTATCTAGCGGCAAAATGCACCTTATATATGACAATTGAAGTGAATAATAAAAGCCATTTTCATTCCCTTTTGGGGTTGGGGCAGGGTTTTTGAAGGTTGTTTCTTCATCACCTATCTATGTGAATTTTCCATTGTCAAATTGAGGCTGAATAGATTCAGAATGAAAGGGATGAAAAAACTGAAAATATATGAGATGAGTTGGAAATGAAATGGTAGATACCTAATGGGACTTTGCTGCGGCCAGTATCCTCATTGCATTATATTGAATTCATGTCTCATATAGTTGCTGTGCAGAAATATTTTTGATAATAGATGGGCATGAGCCTTTATAATTGAAAGAAAGGTTGGGAAATAACGTTTTGTTGGGCTTTAATGCCTTTTCATTCCTTTCTTATCTATTACTTCAACATTCACAGTAGTATCATGTGTATATGCATATATACTGCTGATGTCAAACACATGTATAAAAGCTCTCATAGAAGTCCATCCTCTTAAATAAGAGACAAGAAAAATGCATCTCCATGTCCATACCCAACTTTGGGTTCCAGTTCATGTGTTGTAAGTTCTGAAGCACTGATGAATTGTGACTCTTTGAAACATAGCTGTATCTCTGACACGGTGACACCTGTACTGATCCTTATACTCAGTATTTTCCACTGTGTATTTTGATAAGTTTTTCATTAAGTCATTTTGATGACAGATTCTCATGGGAATTCCTGACAGTGCTTGCAGAATGCATGCAACTTTGAGCCATTATTAGGGTTGGTGCATGAATATCTAGCCTGTGATATTGTGGTTACACTTGACCCCTGTTTTTCACCCAACTTGCGACTATAATACGAATAAGGTGCATGTTACTTGTACCATTATTAGTATTGGGAAGGTATCAAGAATTAAACATTTCCCCCTTTTCTTGCCAGCTTATGATGTGTCCTTGGACGTGTCATGCATTCTAGCCTAGTAAATGCTAACTGGGAGAACAGACCTCGAAAGATATTTCATATTATTTCATTTTTTTCTACTAAATTATTTTAATAAGTAAATATGTTTCTATTGATATTATAAATTTGATATTACAACTATTACGATTAAGAATTTGTTTTGTGGTTTCTGATCTGCATTTCTCTTTTGGTTTTGGCTTTGTTTTTCCCATTTTTGCTTTGGTTGGAGCGTAATATGATAGTTTCTTCTTCTTTTGGTGTTGGTTAGAAGAAAAATGAACAGCTTGCTCAAGCATCAGGAGAACAGGTTGACTCTGTGAGTAATGCCGGAAATAAAGTTATTTTGGGGTCCAAGGGAAGTGGTACAACCACATACCAATTTTCTGCTGCAAATAGTTCGACACTTGTTTACATGGATGAGTTTGATCCAGCAGTCACAACATTAAACATAGTGGGTTCTTGATGTATTTATGGTTTATTTGGTTTTTGATCAATTTATGTTTTAGAATTGGTTTTCCATTGATTTTTCTCCACAACATGAATTGACATTTTAAATTGTTATCTTCCTTTTACAGGCAATTATCTGGTTTCATCTTCATGAATATACAAAGGCATTATCTGTTTTGGAACCTTTGTATCACAATATCGAACCTATTGATGAGGTATGTAATTTTAACAGGTACTTCTTTTGCTTTAACGCTTGTACTAGTGTCATGAGGCTTCATTTTTAATGTGCAGACAACTGCTCTCCATGTTTGCCTTCTGTTGCTGGATGTTGCACTTGCCTGCCGGGATGCATCAAAATCGGCTGTAAGTTCAACATAAATTGTGTTGGTACTTATTTTATCAGATATGTTGACAATGTGTCCAATTCTGATAGTTGTTGATGTAAGGACAAGTCTCTGTTCCTTTTCCCACCTTTCTTGCTTCCAGTTCTCAAACAAATGAGGATAAGAGAATGTTGCCTCTTGATGGTGTAGAGCTTTTAATTTGAGAACTATGTTGTTCTTATTGGTCTTTGTGTGACTGACCATCCTTGGGAATTGACTTCGAACTATAATGGCCAAGTCATCATCTAGAGTAAATAGTTGGAATGGGTTACACACACACTCTCATATGCACACACGGGGAATGAGCAATTCTTAGAGTAGGGCATAGCGATCTTATTTACATCAAACTCTGTGACTTATTGCAATTGTGTACTTTTTTTGTCCTTTCTTTACTATTATGCACTGCTTCCATAATTTTGTTTCAGAGGTAGCCTGTGGTCAAAATTGAATAATAATAATAATAATAATAACAACAACAACGACAACAACAACAACAACAACAACAATAAATAAATAAATATATCAATAAGCCCATTAAAAAGAAATGGCAAAAAAGGATGCCGTCTCAGTCATTTGAAGTCTACAAGAGATGCTTCTGGGGTAATGAAAAATCTAAGTACTGAAGGGGGATGCTTCTGAGGAAATGAAGCTATCCATTGGACATGGTATTTCAAAACTTTTTGTTGAAACAATTGCATTGGAAGTTCTTCCCTCAAACACTTTACTATTGTAGGTTATGTTTAAAATAATAAATCCGCATGCAACCATTTGAGTAACAGTTCATAGTATAAGTGCAATTTGAATCGTCATAGGGCTATATGTATATATAGGGAATCCTTGTTTTTTCTTTTCCTATTTTGGAAGTTAGGGAATTCCTTGTTGAAGTAAAACCTTGAAGACCTCTAAGACACAGAGGCAGAATAATGGAATGGTAATCAGATTATTTTCTTCATTTTCTCCATTTGTTGCTCCCATGAGTCAGCTTATAAATTTATGATCAACACCTAGTGTTGTCCCATCCAGAACCATATGCACACTAGAAATGATTTTTTTTTTTTTTAACGGTTTATGATAGCAAATCAAATTGAAGGATTTTGTAATATGTCTTATCAAGTGGTTGAGGCCATATATATTGGGATTAAATGTGTGGACACTGCTTTTGGATTTCCATCAATATTGATCAAGTGAAAAAGCAAACTGACAATTAGTTGGGGAACCTATTTAGCTGATGCTAAGTTTCAATTTTTTTGCTGGAGGACCATTTTCTATTTTTTTTTCCAACTTGGAAGTGGCTCTGCAAATCATTAAAGATGACCTTACAGTTAAATAGTAGAATGATTCTTCTAAACATCCACAAATAAATGGATAATGTTGACCTTAATGTTGCTGTTGAGCCCTATGAGGTCCTAAACTAAATAAACTATAAACCTGGCTGAGTTGTCATTGGACCAGCCAATAGACCTTGGTGAATATCAGCAGGAATTGATTGAAACTTTAGCGTGGGCTCATGAACTTACACCTTTGGCTAATTTGATTCGATTGAAACGGAAGATGTTTTGGGTTTTTTCTTTTATAAATTTAACAAGCCTTTGGTTTGATGTGAAAAATCAGCTGCCAAAGATCTTCAGCTTACTTCTTAGTTTGGCCTTTTGTTTCTCTGGTTTTACTTTTAAATGATGTATTTAGTAAACACTTATTGATTATGCAGTAAGTAAAAAGTGGGAAAGCAGCGTCAGGAACTATTGCCTTTTCTTTTGCAATTGGCTAAAGTAAAGAAACAAATTTTTTGATAAGTATAGAGGAGTTGGTGGCAGAAGAGGTTTGTGAAGGGTTCAGTGGAGGATTTGGCATAGCTGCTGTGGGGGCAATAGTAGTGGTGGTGTGGCTGTATGGTAATAGTGATGGTGGTAGTGATATTCAGACACTGGTGGTGGTAATTCACACAAGCAAAGTGAAAAAAAGAAGAAAAACATGATTGTCAAAGGCAATGAGATTTTGCTTTCCAGAAAAGCAATATTTTTATACATGTTTTTTTCTTTTGAAAACCAACTTTTTGTTAATGGATGAACCGTTGTTTTTTTTTTTTTTTGGTTCATCGATTTCAGGCTGTTATCAGACGGGGAAAACTGGAGAATGATAATTTCTCATTTGGTTTCATATGTAAATTATTACTAGTCACTATTTAGTTGTATTGATTGGTGGTACTATATTCAATAGAATGATCAATTAGGGGAAATTTTGGGCATAGATATTGCTAAGCAGGTAAAATGTTGAGGTATAAATACTTTCAGTGATTGGAAAATAAAGAAGAATAATGTGGAGAAATTTCTGCTGTAGGAGGTTTTGTGTCCACTCCAGATGGACGATTGAGTTTTTTTTTTTTTTTTTTTTTTTTTTTTTTTTTTCTTTCTTCTCTATCCTTAAAATGATTATGTTGTATGTAGTTGGCAATTTTGTCCTTTAGTAGATGACCAACTGTATAATCTGCTTAGGGCAATTGTGAATGCAAACTTGAAAAAACATTGAGAACATGTTGAGCATTGGTTTTGCAAGCTACAGTGGAATGTGTGCTGCAATTTAACTGTTGACTTGCTAGCTTACCTAAGCAGTTGAAAAGCTCTTGAATTTGGTTTGACTTGCTATCTAGGCAATATTTCTGATTATGATCAAATTGCTGTCAGTTGCATTGACATATAATGTTTTCATATCTGTCTTATTTAATGTTTTGAATGGCACAAGAATTGACATGTCAACTCCTTTTTTTTTTTTTTTTTTTTTCTTTCTTCTCTATCCTTTAAAATGATTATGTTGTATGTAGTTGGCAATTTTGTCTTTAGTAGAGACAACTGTATAATCTCTTAGGGCAATTGTGAATGCAAAACTTGAAAAACCTTGAGAACATGTTGAGCATTGTTTTTGCAACTACATGGATTGTGTGCTGCAATTTATGTTTGACTTGCTACTTACTAACAGTTGAAAGCTCTTGAATTTGGTTTGACTTGCTACTTAGCAAATATTTCTGATTATGATCAATTGCTGTCAGTTTGCTTGACATATAATGTTTCATTCTGTCTTATTTAATTGTTTTGATGGCACAAATTGACATGTCACTTCATTTTGGTCAGGATGTACTTGTTTATCTGGAAAAAGCTTTTGGTGTTGGCTGTGTGAGTCAAGGTGATAATGCAAGCACCACACAGCAACAATCTGCAAATCTAGTTGCAAAATCATCCTCTATTCCGAGCAGTTCTTCAGTAGCAGATGCTTCCAGTTCAGATTTAGTGCATAGTGGGAATGCCTTGGAAAATTCTTTATCAAGAACTTTATCGTTATCGGAGGATACACTTGAGTATGAGTCCATGTTTTCACTGGACATAAGTGGACAGAACTTAACCAGGCCATCTGGTCTCTCAGCTTCAAATGATATTTCGAGGACCCAACTTGATAGGTCTACATCTACAATTGATCTGAAGCTTAAGTTGCAGCTCTACAAGGTCCGTTTTCTGCTTCTCACAAGGAATTTAAAACAAGCAAAGCGCGAAGTCAAGCTTGCTATGAATATTGCACGTGGGAGAGACTCATCCACAGCTCTCCTCTTGAAGTCTCAGCTAGAATATGCTCGTGGAAACCATCGTAAAGCCATCAAGTTGCTGATGGCATCAAGTAACCGGACGGAGATGGGGATTTCAAGCATGTTGAACAACCTTGGTTGCATTTATTATCAGCTTGGAAAATACCAAGCTTCATCTGTCCTCTTCTCCAAGGCACTTAGTAGTTGTGCATCTCTCCGGAAGGACAAGCCTATGAAGCTGTTAACTATCTCACAAGATAAATCTCTTCTCATTATGTACAATTGTGGCATACAACAATTGGCTTGTGGGAAACCCTTACTGGCTGCTCGATGTTTCCAGAAGGCTAGTTTGATATTTTACAACTACCCTATCTTGTGGCTCCGGCTTGCTGAATGTTGCCTCTTGGCTTTAGAGAAGGGACTTATAAAAGCCAGTCGAATTCCATCAGATCAATCTGAAATCATAGTTCATGTTATAGGCAAGGGAAAATGGAGGCATCTTGCAATAGAAAATGGGAGTTTAAGAAATGGATATGTGGATTCTATTGAAAAGGAAGACTTGTTTTTGGGCAGCGATGGCCAACCTAAGCTCTCTGTTTCTCTTGCCCGGCAGTGTCTTCTCAATGCGTTGCATTTGTTGGACTCTTCTGATATGAACCATTTGACGTCCAGTTTGCCTTCCAGTATTTCATTGGATGAAAATGAATCAGTTGAAGCAGTATCTCTGAAGAACTCAAACCACAAGAATTTAACTGGCCTTGATACAAAAACGTCAGCTGTATCTGTTGGCTTAGGTCAGCTTAATGCGAATGGGGACACAAAAGAGCAGAAAGGAGGTACAAGTCAGGAGATCATGCAGAATTTTGTTTCTGACTTTGAAGATATTCTTAGGAGAGAGAATCAGATGATTAAGCAAGCTCTTCTTGCTAACTTGGCATATGTAGAGTTGGAACTTGAAAATCCTGAAAAGGCCTTATCCACTGCCAAGTCTCTCCTGGAGCTTCCAGAATGTTCAAGAATATATACTTTTCTTGGTCGTATGTATGCAGCAGAGGCCCTCTGTTTGTTGAACAAGCCAAAGGAAGCTGCGGAACACTTATCAAGATATTTTTCTGGAGGAAATAGTGTAGAGCTGCCTTTCAGCCAGGAGGACTGTGAGCGATGGCGAGTGGAGAAAACTTTTGATTGTGAAGAGCCAAACGGAGGATCAGCCACTGTCAAGAATTCTTCTTCGGAGGAATCACGAGGTATTGTTTTCCTCAAGCCTGAAGAGGCACGAGGTATTCTGTATGCGAATTTTGCAACCTTGTATGCAGCCCAAGGTGATCTCGAGCGGGCTCACCATTTTGTGACACAAGCATTGTCCCTTGTACCTGACAGTCCGGAGGCCACTTTGACAGCAATTTATGTGGATCTTATGCTCGGTAAGTCACAAGCAGCTATTTCCAAGTTAAAACAATGTAGTCGGGTCAGGTTCCTTCCAAGCCATGTACAATTGAATAAATCTTGATGGGTTTGTATCAGATTAAGTGGCTTCCAATTCTTGTGTCTGGCTTACCTCAGTGTTAGTTAGTGGGTAGATCAGAAATCCTTTAATAGGATTTGTAACATATATATAGTTCAGTTCAGAGAATAAATTTTCCCTTTTTTTTTTTTATTTTATTTTAGTTTTCATATTTTAGGTTCCATTAATTGGTGTGGCAGAGTGTTTTGGATAGAGCGGATGCCCACCTTTCAAATTTATGTTGTGCTCTTCTTGAGATTGAAAACAGAAGAAAAGAAATTAATCATCATTTTCACTTGAGATTTTCGTTTTCTTTTGACATCTTGTTAGATTAATGCAAAATTCCTCTACTTGATGCAATAGTTTGACTTGTTTGTATTACTCTGTAAAATGCTTATGGGTGTTTTTTCTTTAGTATATGCAATTTTTTTCTGCTTCCGGTGACTGAATTCAACAATTAATTGCTAAATATTAATAATTGATACTATAAAGATGCTCAATTGATATTAATAATATCTTAATGGATCTATCAAAAATATCCATTATATGATTGGTCCAAGTGGAAAAAATTTTATGCATCAGGTGGTGATAATATGAATTTATTTGATAATGAGAGAAAAATAGGTTTTTTTTTTTTTCATTAACAAAGGTGAAAGTATAAAGTAGAAACATTGTTAAACTTAATTAGCCTAATTATGATAAATTGAAATAACGCAATATGATGAAAATTAAATTTTCACTTATTAATAACATAATCAAATTATATTTTGTAATTCTTTTAGAAGCTATTTTGTTCATAATTATATAATTTCGAAAAAAAAAATTAAGGAGTATTAATTAATTATTTCCTAACATCCATTTTGTTGCATTTATTTTTTTCTCTCTTCATATTATTCGGAGATTAACGTAAAGAATATTATTAAAACAGCAGTAATTATATGAGACACAATAATTTAATCAAATTAAAGAGTATTTTGTTATAATTTAAATCGCTTCCTTAATCACCATATAATAGATTAAATACAAATAACAGTAATGGGAAAAAATAATATATTAACCCGCATTTACAGTGATGTAATTTTATTTAAAGTGAAAAAAAAAATGTTAAAATCAATTAACATCAGATAATTATTGGGCGGCACACTGTCCATTGCAAATTGCAGAAAAGAAGATGAAACCTGACTTGTATTGTATATGAAGATTTATATATGAAGTGTTTGGTTGTCAAGAATTTGTAATTTACAGAAGAAAAAAAAATAGGATCCATGTTTGCTCCCACTCCTACATGATTCACCCAAAAGAAAAAACAAAACAAAATTTGCTGTCTTTTTCCTAGAAAATAATGCTTGAAAGCTATACTCTGATTTAGATATGTCTTCTTGGTAAAGGAACATTCATATATTTACCACAAGATAACAAAAATTTTTAATGCACATTAACATCCTGCTTTCCATGTGGGTCTATCCTATCAATAATACTTCATTATCTCCATTCAAACAGGGCACAAGTAAAATCAATTAGCTGTATCACTTTTTTATTTTTTTTGAAAAAAAAAAAAAAATTCTAGAGACTCATAATTTTTTTTCCTTACATATGTCTCTATATTCAGGTTAATGGTGATATTTAGTTAACGTCTTCCTAATCATTGCAATTTCAGATTTTAAATTTTCTGAATTTATAGGTAAAAGAATATTATATTTCTCTTTTCTCCGTGGGAAAAAAAAAATCTTTTAATGGAAAAGGTTGCTTCATCCATATCAACAAACTAACTAGCAAAATAATGATTAAAAAAAAAAAAAAAAGATCACCTACTTGAAGCTAACTGGAGCTTCGTCAACTGGCACCATAATGGATTAAGGAGAGAAGAGAAGAAGAAGACAATATAACTTCATGTGCCATAGCTTTTAGTGGGTCCCTTATGCTCTTCATTTCTCTCATGTGAGCATACATAAAGATAATATAGCCATAGCTTAAAAGATTGGTAAAGCCTGCTTTTATATTAAACTGCTGAGAAATACTGTTTGATTATGATTTTGATTGAGTAATCAGCTCCAAGTTAAAGCTTTTTAGTAATTTTGGTATTGATTTATTGATAGGAATGGTTTACTAATCTGTACCGAGTAAACTAAGTAACCGAGTAACTTAAAGACTCGAGAAACTAATTAAGACCGAACAGAGTCAGATTAGAATGATTATGCTTAAAAATTTAATAATTTCATTAATTTTGAATGTACTGAAACTGGACGAGCAGCACATAAATCTTAATACACAAGCCTAAAAATGGTATTAATTAATTTATTGAGAAAAATATAAAGATAATTATGAATGATGGGAAAGAAAATATCTTTAGAAAAAAAAAAAAAGAAGGGTCCTACTGTTCTCATCGTTATACTGACATTGTTAAGTAAAAAAACCAGAACAAGAATATAAAATTTAAAATCGTTAGTATTGAGGTGGTCTTATTTATGTACTATCTCTAATCCGAGTAAGAATATAAGTGTGTTGTGTATCTCTATTGGACAGTCATTCTACTAAGATGGTGGTAAAATTTTAGGTAGTTTTACATTAGGTATTACATTTTTTATATTTGAAAAAAAAAAATTAAATTATATAGAAATAAATATGTACTCTTAAACTGATATGTACATGTACAATTGAATGAGAGTGACAGATCAAGAGGTCCATACAATATATATTTTTTTTCTCAACTGGGATAAAACACGGGGCATGTACTTACATAGGCTATAGTTGATAGAATTCTATGCAGGAAAACGGAAATTTCTCTCTCAAATAATTAGAAAGTGTTGCTTGTTGCTTCAATGTCTCTGTCAGGAATTAAGGAGTGTCTGTGTCTCCTTTCTCTACCCACATAAATTCTGTAAGATATGTTGGAGCCATGCATGGAAATTAAATAGACTACCCTTTTTCAATCTTTTTATGTAAGATATAACACAGTACTGTTTCATCAGAATCCATTATTAATTAATAATTGTCCATTGGAATTTTAAAACCACCATCACTTTAGTTTCTCTCCAATGTGCCCTAAAATCGAAATTTTTTGATCGATTTATGTTTGGATAGTGACCTTAATATACGTGTTAATTGGAAATACCTTTTTTGATTTTTAATTTATTGTTTCCAGTTGCTTTTTGGTGTAGGGTATAAAAAAATATTATATAATAATCAATTTTTTATAATTATATTTTGCATAATTGATAGGTATTTTCGATTTCGTGTATAACTATACGCATCGAGATTGAAATTTTTAACTGAATAATCTTGAAAGAGCATGTGTTAGAAATATAATCTTTTATATTTTCAGAGTACTCTTCAATAAAATGAATCGATAAAAAAAATGAGAGTTATCATCCTTAATAATTTAATTAATCCTATATTAATTTAAATTTGTGGTTTTAATTTTATTAAAACATGTATTAATTAAATAAATAAAATACGTACATTCCTTATGATTTGGCTCAGAATTGAAAGATATTAATGATTGAGATGAACATAGAATAGATAGGGTTTTAGGAGTTCACATGCAAACATAAAAAAGAAAAGGTGCTCAAAACAAGAAGCTAACTAACAAAATGAGAATCTAAAATCATAAAGAAAATCTCTTGCATTGCTTCCTTGTCTGAAGACCAATCACCACACATCCAACAATATTATACCAACAATAATTAAATGGTTTTACAAATTAAGAACCCAAACATCATCAAATACAAATCAAGAAAATTAATTCAAGGTACACTCGACATCCTCTCATGTCGATTTCCACACCATTCTATCGTTTCTTGCAACCTGCATTAACATAAATCGTTCAAGTACTCAAATTAGGGTTTTAACTCCCGAATTTTTGCATGATAAGACAGACAGTCGATCATTAAATTATCAGCTAATTTTCAAGCAAAGCGAAGAGAATACGCACTTAACTTGGATCTAAAGAGAGCAAGTGTAACCAGGAGGAGGAGTCTTTCCACAAGTAACAAGGAGTTGAAGGGCAATGGGGACATAAACATTAAGGTTGAGAAGTTTAAGCTTAAGAGTAGTGCATAAGCAAACAGCAGCTTCAAGACCTGCAAGTCCTTCAATAACTGGACAGCACTGGTTCACAACAGGGTCCCCTAGCCCAATGTGCACTAACCCACCAAGCAAATCAACACAAGCCCCTAATTTCAGTGTGTCAATAGGGCAAGTCTCCTGTTTTGCTGGTGGTGATGGGCAAGGTTTTTTCCCACTTCCCTTTGGTGGATTTAAAACTGGAGGAACTGTAACCGGAGGGACTGTAACAGGAGGGAGCGTAACTGGTGGCTTCACAATTGGAGGAACTGTAACAGGAGGGAGTGTCACTGGTGGTTTTACAATTGGAGGAACTGTAACGGGAGGGAGTGTCACTGGTGGTTTTACAATTGGAGGAACTGTAACGGGAGGGAGTGTGATTGGTGGTTTTACAATTGGAGGAACTGTAACAGGAGGCAAATTAATTGGAGGCTTAACAATTGGAGGAACAGTTTTTGGTCTTTTAGGGCTTTTGTGCTTATGCCGTGGTTTGCCACAACTGCCACAGCCAAGAATTGGAGCAGCAGAGGAAATGAAAAGCATGCAAATGAGAAGAAGAGCTGAAATCTTGGAGGACTCCATTTTTGTGGGTTTTGGTGAAGAAAAGAAAAGACTGATAATTTTTTTATAATAGAGTAGAGAAGTGCAGTGTTATATAGGAACGGTGGGGTGAGAAGTAGTAGAAAACAAAAAATCCTTAAGGCACACCACGTGAATATGTGCTAAGCCTTCAAAGGCAGCTGCCAAATTTTGCTAGTTGGCAACTATGATTAGTTAACAAATACATGAATCCCTTTTATTAATTTAAATCCAATATCTATACGTATTTATATTCCAAATATATAATTATTATTTATTTGTAATATGTTATCCGTAAAGAGTAACTCAAGTGATAAAATATACTTAAAAGGTAGTCACAAACCCTAAAATTATATTAGTTTCATAAAAAAAATGTGAGGATATCATTTTTCCAATTATTATTTATTGGAAAAATGATATGTTAAAACAACATTTTGTCTTTAGGTTCTGTGCCATTAATTTGAAATATTGGTTAAAGAACAATTTGAGTAATATTTAAAAATAATAATAATTTGAGTAACATTTCAAAATATAAGTTATAGATTTAAACAGTGATTAAAATGTTAAAGGTGATAATTATAGTTTTAATCATTAATATTGTTTTATATGTTATAATTTAATTTTCAAAAGAGTTTTATTGTTTAAAAAATTTTAATTTTATAATGCCATGTAAGCGGAATGACTTGATATAGAAATGATGAGACATTTGATTACATTATTGATGATGGAATTAACTAATTAATTACTTAAATATTTTCCTTTTGGAGAAATACATAAGGTTAAACAAGAAGTTTCTGTGGAGGTAAGGTACTAAGGTACGTGCAAATGCATATATATATATATATATATAAATTTATAATGCCATGTAAGCGGAATGACTTGATATGAAATGATGAGACATTGATTACATTATTGATGAATGGAATTAACTAAATTAATTACTTAAATATTTTCCTTTGGAGAAATACATAAGGTTAACAAGAAAGTTTCTGTGGAGGTAAAGGTACTAAAGGTAACGTGCAAATGCATATAATATATATATATAATATATCATATTATGGGCCGCCAACCATATATATATATATATATATATATATGGGCCCCAACCTAGTTGGTTAATCATATGATGCTCTAAAATTTAACTGTATCAGGAATGGATTTTTTTTAAAAAAATTTTTTGATAAATGGATAAATATTATTAAAGAATTAGGAGGATAAAGCCCATAATGGAGGTGGGTGTGGGACTACTAAGCAGCCATGAAAGTGATTTTGTTTGGTGTTATTGGCTTTTCAAGGTCTATATGCCACAATAACACAAAAGAATCTAGTCCGGAAGAGCTTAGATCTGTTATTGCAACTAATGGATAAATATTGCAACACTTATTATTGCACCGTTTGAAACTAACAATGTCTTGCTAAAAATTACATATTATCCAAAATGATAAATTTAGTTCATAAGCTGAATGAAACTTTTTTATTATAAGTTTTTTTGCCATTCGATATTATATATAATGAATTTTATATACTATGCACTATCGACAGTAATTACAACAATTTGAAAGCGCATCAGGGACAGGGTAGTACAACCCACTAAGGAAAAATCTTCTCTTTTTCTTGAAGATGAATTCAAACACATTATATATATTATCTTTCAAATACGTCCTAATAAAGCTCCTCGTCGGATAACTTAAATTCAACTTTCTTTTTTCTTTTTTTTTTTTATACTTTTAATTTTGAAACTGAACTAGTCCAAATGTCGAATGATCTTGTCAACAATGGTTGAATAATAGATATTTCAACAAAAGACAGGAAGGAGATTGTATTTGTAGTCGCAAGAGTTGACATTTCTAAGGGTAATATACAGTAGAATTGGCTAGGAATTTCTTGACAAGATCCTTTAAGCAACTACCGGTTGAGATAAGGCACTGGATCCCTTAAGCAATATCTAGATTGAATCCTAATGTTGTAAATGGAGAAAATTCAGTTGGGAGAGTCGCTCCCATAATTGACCTTTGCAGAACCTGAACAGTGGGTGGTTTACCAAAAAAAAACATTAGGCTTCAATCAAGTTTTGGTTAACTTGATTATATTATGTGTATCCACAGTTGGTATTACACCCAAAGGGAAGCTTGAGGTAAGGAGATATTTATCACCTAATTACCTTTGATAATCTTGTGTTAAAAAGGTCTTCCTATATTATTTTCAAGGACACAGAGTAGGAGTCATCTTCATGTACAGTGGTAGAGGTATAACATTTTTTTTTCTTCTGAAAACTAGAGAAAATATTTGAAAAATGATTGAAATGATTAAATAACTTAGATGGAATAAGAGGATATGGCAATCTTTTCTTCAGAAAATTTTGAGGTGAAAAAAATAAATCATAATATTTCTTTTTTTTTTTTTATTCATTGTGAGTTCCGATGCCTTTCCCTGTACTCACCAAATTGTTTAACAAATTTTACTACTGATTCAACAATTGGGATTCACATTTTATATACTCTTTCAAATCTCAACCATTCATTATTTCATGATAAATATCTCTTACACCTATCATTATATTTGACTTGTATTACATTAATGGAAATTAGTGATATATGCTTTTTCCATGTTTATTTTTAAGTGCAACAGTTGCCACAAATACTGGGGCCACCGTCACATCTACAAAACCTTTTTTTTTTTTAATTTTTGAATGTCATAAGAATTAAGAAAGCTATGTGTTTAAGCATCTAAAGAGTTCTTCTGTATATGATTGCATTATAAATATATAGATCCACATGAAAGGAAGACCTACCAATTTTGTGTCTTTGTAAAACATTGACTAGACAGTCTTTTAGCCTAAGCTAAAAGAAATTATTAGTTGCTTCGAGTTCTTAGCTGCCTACCTTATCAACAATTTATTTTATTTTATTTTATAAAAGTGTGTTTGGCAATAGCTTTTTAAATAACCAGTCAAAATACTAAATACTATTTAAAAAAGTTATTCGGTAATATAGTATTTGGACTAGCTTTTAAAGGTTAAGGTAGCATTTTATGAAAAGTTAATTCGTATAACATTTAACTTTTAGCGTTTCATGAAAAACTACTCAAATAGCTAACAGCTAAACACTATTAAAATAACTACCAACTACGCAAAAGCTAATTTTTGCCGAACAAATCCTAAATAATCATTATTACTAGTCATACAGCTCTTATTCGACAAAATTAGTTATTTTAGTTAAAAGTTTAGTTTATGGTTTTTTACATTTTAGTGTATATAATTATATTAATTTATATTTATTCCACTAAATTTTTACCTTTTGCCCTCACTGAATTATATACTTTTATGTATTCTCTCCATCAATTTAATTTTCTGGATTCACCATTGGTTTTAGTAGCTATTAGTTGTTTAAATAATTGACAGTTGTTTTATTAACATTTCATCAAACGGAAAAAGAGTAATATTTTACAATCCGCTCTCTCAAACTTTAAGCATTAATATAAATGCAACGCCACTAAATGTTTTGATTAACTCAAAACATTAAACACTATATAACGTTTCATAATTATTAGTTATTTTACTAGCGTTTCATTAAACGTAAAAAAATAATGTTTCATAATTCGTTCTCTTAAACTCTAAACACTTGTATAAACGCAACGTGATCAAACATTATAAATAATAAAGATATTGTTTTGATTAACTCAAATTACTAAAATGCTACGTATAAAGCTATGATGCGTGACCGGACCGTAATAGATTTATATCGTTAATGATAAAAATCATAGATGCTAGGGGATGGAATCTTAGATAATAGTTTGCGAGAAAATAAAGATTCTGCACGAATTGATTATATTTGTGAATTATTGAGTGAGGTCTCTATATATACTAGTCAAAAAATGAAATTTGATAATAATTGAACAGTAGAAGGTAAGACATAGATCTCAAAATGAAAGAAATAGGAAACAGCATAGCAAGAGAAGATGTGAAATTGGTAGTTACAGTTGGAGTGTATATACAGTTATTAGTTAATAATTTAAAAAAAAATGAAATTTGATAATAATTGAACAGTAGAAGGTAAGACATAGATCTCAAAATGAAAGAAATAGGAAACAGCATAGCAAGAGAAGATGTGAAATTGGTAGTTACAGTTGGAGTGTATATACAGTTATTAGTTAATAATTTAAAAAAAAAAACGAAAAAAACGAAAATGATATAATAGAGAGACAGGCACATGATGATGATAGTCTCCACTCCAGTCTACTGCAAATAAATGCATGGCTATGGTTTATCTATATATCAATTTGAGAAGCTGTATTATTTGTTCTTTTGCTAATCCCGTGATTCTCTGCTTTCCTCATTTTGATGCGATTGGTCTCTCCCTTTCTCTTTTCTCTCTTAACACTTTCTCTTTTCTCTATCAAATTAGTCTTCTTTCTTTCCTTTTCATCCAGGGACTATACCAATGATAATAATATCTATCTATCTATCTACGTTGACACGTGTCTCAATCCCTCTAAATATTCACTATCAATCAATTTGTCTAGTGCCATGGAGCATCTTTTATCCACCTAAGTTTAAGCTTTTTGTGTATGAACGTGTAAGTGGTTTCTTTCTTTCTTTTCTTTTTTTTTAACTTGAAAGGACTATGTGTTAAAGAATATCCTTTTAATATTAAATTGATATGCCTTCTGCAATACAGACGATTTGATTGATAGAAATGAATTATATTTCAGATAAATTTTATCTATAAAGTTTGGAATTATCTAAATATCACATTCAGTCCAGCGCAAAAGATATGTTGATATGTATGTAAATTCAAAAACAAAATAAAAAACTTTATACAGAAATCTCCTATGAAAAGAAAATCTCCTGATGAATATATAAATACTCGTTTTAATAAAAACATGATTTCATGAGTTAAGTTTATGAATTATATTAAATTAGTTCAATCAAAAAATAATTATTTATATCATAAGAAGAAATTTGTGAATAAATAAAAATATTTTTTTTTGGTCAAAAATTAATTCATAATCAATAAACAGGAATGCAAATTCAATTCTTTATTAAACTGATTGTTGATGCTA